TTTCAAGCGAGCTGCTCGCTTTAAGGATCAGTCATGACTGATTATGATCTCAGAGGATCAGTGAACAATATGTAATGTGGACATATCTCAGTACAGTTGTATGTGAGTGAATCTGTATAGCTTTTAAAATATTCGATGTTTCCTTTACTTTCAGTTCAAGATGTAGATATCTTCAGCAGCGAAACATGGACGCAAGTGAAAGACGTTTGCAGTAGTAATGACACTTTGAAGGACGTTCCCGTCGAAATGATGGATTTGGCCTTTACGAGCAGAGAAAACAAGACAATTACAAAGTACAAGTCAGGTTTTGAACGTTTTAAAAACTGGTGCTACGGGCTTACTTTTCACGTTTTACCAGCAAATCATATTCACGTTTCCATTTATTTGTTGAGTATCTGGCAAACTTCTTACAGCTACAGTCAAATTATTGCTGCTAAATACAGTATAGCTTGGGCACACAATTTAGCATGTTTGCCTAATCCCTGTGAGCATCAACTCATTAAAATTATTACAGAAGGTGCTTCACGTCAAAAGCATAACAAAATTTCAAAGAAAGCACCTATATCAGTTGAAATGATAGAAAAAATCGTGCATAGATTTGCTAAGGAGAGCTCATCGATTTCAGATTTGAGAACGGCAACTTTCATTCTAATAAATTTCGCTGCCTTTCTAAGATTTGATGAGGTTTCTAGACTTAGATGTTCAGACTTTGTTTTCAAGGATTCATTCTTAGATGTTTTCATACAGAAATCAAAAACAGATTGCTACCGTAATGGAGCTAATGTTTTGATAGCAAGGACCAACAACGAAACATGTCCTTACGCTTTGTTATTGCGTTATATGAAAGCATTGGAAGTCACAACCAGTTCAGAAAGTTTTATCTTCGGAGGTCTGTCGTATTGTAAATCAAAAGGCAAACATCAACTTAGAGAAAACACTAAGCCTCTCAGTTATACTACTTGCAGAGATATGTTTAAGTTCGCTTTGAAAGAAATTGGAGTAGATAGCTCTAACTTTGGGTTGCATTCTTTAAGAGCGGGCGTTACTTTAAGTCTTGGACTGTGAGTTTTTGTTCACATTCTCTCTTTTTTAGCCTCGATCGTCCTCGCCACAAGGCATTACTATTTAAACTATATCTTATGTTTTGTTGGCTATTTTGTAGTTACAAAAAATGTGGTTTAGCTGACTTAAATAATTTTTCTAACGTTTGAGGTACGAATTAGTGAGAAAATTACTTTAAGATTTGCGGGAGACGAGATTTTTGTTTTTATGCGTACCAAGTTGTAAGGGGGGTTTGTACGTTTCATGGTTCGTTGATTCTGTTGAATGAATAGATGTTAGGGATAAGTACGTAATGAATAGGTAAGGTCATTCTCAGCTTAGCGAGTGGACGACCAACAATTTACTTTTAAGATCTTAATTTTACGCAAATTAATGTACTGTAGTTCATTTTTTCAAGCTCATTTATAACTAGGTGTAGACTCGGCCTCTGTTTATCTCTACTTCAGTTCGGTGAGGTCAGACCTCCTGTATCCTATAATAAAAAGTATAATATGATAGGTTTTCAGGTTGGGTCTCCGAGAAGTTGAGTCAAGTCTTAAGATTGTCAGGCTTGCATCTAAGGTTCAGTTTTTGAAACAAACGTCTTCTGGATCCTTTACTTTATACGCCATTTCTTTATTGTAAAGCAAGTTACTGTAATTACTACTGTTTAAGTTGCTTTGTACTTCATGATTGCTCAGTTCATTGAAACATTTGATTTTACAGCTAAGTAGAGCTTTACCCATCGGAGATTCATGGGAGCCGACAGGATATACGGCTATATTGGATAAGATTAAAAGTTGTGCATTACTATAGCAGTTGCTTTGTGCTACATTATTGCTTGGTGCATAAAAATTTTTGTTCTTAATGGAATGGACAATTTTACCCATCGGAGATTCATGGGAGCTGATTAATTATACAGCTATTTTGGATAACTTAGAGGGTTACACTGATCAGATTAGTTGCTTTGTACAACGTTATCATTCTGATACTCATAGCATCTTTCTGTTTCACCTGAAACATGCTCTGATATTATGAGGCATATTCTGTGATCTGAGCACATCAGATGGAAAGAGTTATAACTGTCAATAAGTGTGATGGTTATCATGTAATCATTTACCTAATGTCAATACATTACATAATAGGCATTGTATTTAACAGCAGATATTAGCACAGGTACGTGTACACAAGTTTAATGACCCCAATTAAATGAAATATGAGCTGGGATGAAAGATCTCAAAAATCCTCAATTTTGGGCTCTCCTGGATCGCCAAATCAAGCTCATTATATCATGGCATCTCAGGGCTGAGAAGAAATGAGATGTCATGGTATATCATGATGCAACGTTATTGCTCGGCGCATAGAAATATTTGTTCTTACTGTTATGGAGATTTAACCCATCGGAGATTCATGGGAGCTGATTAAATATACAGCTATATTGGATAACATAGGAGTGAGTTACACTGATTATATTAGTTGGAGATTGATGGGAGCTGATAAGATATACAGCTATGACTTAATTTTGATAATTTGTGCTGTTCTGGTTTAGAACAAAGTGCTGTAACATAGCAGCAAGGTGTGAGACCTTTAGATTGCTCGGTGCAATGAAGATCACTCGGTGTGATCCTCTATATTGAAGTGTGATTGTCTATATGTTATGATGTTATGTTAGCTAATAAACACGGTCGTCGATCGTCCTCGCCACAAGGCATTACTATTTAAACTATATCTTATGTTTTGTTGGCTATTTTGTAGTTACAAAAAATGTGGTTTAGCTGACTTAATATGATTTTCTACAAAAAAATGGCCGCCATTTTGAAATCAAGTGAATTTAATCCATTTATTGGTATTTGAGTGATAAAAGATTACGCGTTTTACGAATTAGCCATTATTTCATAACAAACTATTGTAATTAAATGCTTTAAATATCCAAAAGGATATCAAGCTGTTAGAATATTGTATTAAATGTATGTAACATTACTGCTGAATAAAATTTTAAAATGGCGGCCATGTTGAAATTCAACAGCCATCTTGAAAATATCTTCTTGAGCAAAACTCCTTTGTCCCGAATTGTCGGCATATAAAATTTGAACCAAGATTACTTTTTTTACGAAAAATGGCGGCCACATTGAATTTAGCTTACATAAAAATTCCTTCTCGAGCAGAGATTCTATCGCCATATAAGGCATAAGCCTAAAAAATTGAATTAAATCCGTCAACTGGTATTTGAGTTATCGCACGGACAAACAGACGGACGGACGGACAAACGGACGGACGGCTTTCCTATATCCCCCTCAAACTTTGTTGTATTTACAATACAATACACCACATTCTTGTTCCGGATTTGTTATTTTATGGCGTGTTTATACACAGTTTTCTTACAGTTATAGTATTTTGAGTGGGTCCGAGGCACATATACTGAGAAAACACGAGAATGGACTAAAAATGAACTTAGAGATCTCAGCCGGAATGTTTACAGCTTATATTCTGCTCCTTGTAGACCAAACGTCAGACTTAACTCAGTCTTTATAACCATACATACATACATCAGCGAACTAATTTAAAAAGAAATCTTACGTGTGAACCTTGCCTACAGGCGAGAAAGAGGACATACTGTCTTCCCCATCCAGCATTTTTGTTATCGTTATGGCAAAATTTTGCAAATCGCCTTGACGTAACCGTCATGGTGTAACAGCGTGATCTTTGACTTCAGTGAACAACGATGACTTTGATTTAGACATTTATGTTATTTAAATCATTTTCCATGACTTCCTCAACTTTTCTGAAAAAAACGTTGGCCAAATCTCCATTGATGCAACGTTTAAATTCTCTAAAAACCTTGGTTTATTAGTTGAATAACCCTTTTGATGATTAATCACAATACATATACAATCTTAACACATAAGTCTATGGTAGTCTGGCCCAAATAAAAAGTTGAATAAAAGATGGCAACACTAGTTTTCTCTTGCATATTCAACTTTTTAAGAAAGCCCCCATAAAATGAGCGGAACCTTCGTTTTTGGAAGTTAAGTATGAAGTCGTTAGAAAGTGGGTAACAGGGTCTATAACCCGGGGGTTCACTCCTAATAATTTGGGTAGGTTTGTGCAGCACGGGGAATTTTGGCTTTGAGCATAAACCATGGAACCTGGCCAATCTCAGAGGAAAAAACATGGATAATTTTTTGTTGAAGAGAGCGCCTTTGAAGCCAAAAATCAGTTTTTCTACAAAGAATGGTAATAAATCGCGATAATCAGTTAGCGAGGTCTGGGACAAATCATCCAAAACGTGGATTTTGTATAGTCAATATATAGCCTAATACCAATATTTCAGGAAATTTACTCCCTTTTAAAAGACTGAGAGGAAGTATACATGTAAACGTTCAATCTTGAGAGGAAATTGACATGGACAAATGCTCAAAATGGGGCCTTTGGCATGGCACATAGGTATTAAGAGGTGTATTGGAGTGAAACCCCCGGGGTCTATAACTGAATCCAGATCGACAATATGTATCTAGATGGAACTTCACATTTTCCGGGTAACAAGTTGGATTTGTCAAAGGTGTAGTCCTGCAATATATTGGCATATTTTCAGAAATGATTTAAATTGTGGAATGATGCCTATAGTATTTTCTAACTGTCGTTTTTTAAATCGAGCACTGTTCGAAAATCTTTTAACCTTATTAGAAAGTTAAATGTCTTCCTAAACGAATATTACACAAAAAAATCAAACATGAAATCCTTAATGTATTCCTCAAATTGTTTTTTTAAAACCACATCAAACCTACATCATTGTCTTTGTTTCAAATCGGTTAAATTAGTGACATCGTACATCTAAAGTGTACTTCGGAAAATTTGTCACTACACCTTGTCGATGGTTAGGCGTGTCTGATGCAATTTGAACAATTTGTTGCACTTATAAAATGTACAGACATACGCATCTCATAAACTTTTTTTACCATTGTCATTGTTATGCAGTAGACGTGATATGTTTGGAAAGTCCCCTAAGGCATGTTGTATCATTATACAGATTCAATGCCAACAATGTTCTAATGTAACAGAAAAATAATAAAGATGGCCATGGCGAGGAGGTTTGTTGCGAGCGTAGCAGCTTCACTGGGTGCTGTCGTAGTAGTGGCGACAGTAATGTGGGTAGTTGTATCAGTCACTGTTGTTGTAGAATTAGTAGTTGTGTTAGCTGTAGTCGAGGAAGTATTGGAAGTGATTTCTTCCGATACATCGTATGTCATCATGATTGAGAATACGTTCTCCCAAAACACCTCCTTTTTGTGAACAATAGTAGCCCTTAAAAGTAAAAGTCTCGATATCACTCGGTATTATTTAACCCTATCTAGTCTAATAGGTATACCTCGGAATCATCATGAAAGCTGACACGTAAAGTTTTAATCTTGCCGGAATTCATGGTTGACTCCTGACGTGCTAAAAGGTGGTATATCATGCACATGTACATGCATTCACATTTATTCCTAAAAACAATCCATGGGAATACTTTTGACCTGGTTAAAGCGATATAATTGTATAACAATAATCATTCAGATAATATTTATTTATCCTATGTATAATATAATAATAACAATTTACCTAAACCTGACGTTATCTTTTAAGCCTGCTGGAGCAGTCCAATTGAACTGCTTCTCGACGTAATGTGCCTTGGCACTATGAGACACTGCAGACTGAAATCAACGTTAACCTATTTTAGTTTAGATACAGAAATCGAAACCTACACCTGCCTGAATCTCAATGCACTGAATGCAAAATGTCAACGTTACCTGTTACACTGCAGGGTTGAGTCTAACGAAGCATTTTTGTAACGAAGGTTATCGAAAAAATTGTGACCACACTGGCTTTATCCAACTCTAAAGGCCCCCTCACATATGAGCGAATCCGCCAAACGCAGCCTTGCGCATGGGGCAAAGTCAATTCTGACGAATCTTGAGCGAAACTAAATATGTTACGTACGGATTCGTTACTGTTCGTACAAGTTCACAAACTGTCGCAAAGATTCGTAATGGGATCGTTCTCGTTCGCTTGAACCACGACCTGATAACTGTCGACAGGAAAAGTTCAGATATGGACCTCTGTAACGCCACTTGACGTACGTTGACGAAGCCTATACGAAGACTTACCAATCGTTTACGCATTGAAATGAATTACAACGAATAACAAACGAAACTTTTATTCGCCTCAGATTTTTAATCATGTTCAAAATTTTCCGACGAATAAGATTAATTCCAACGGATGTAAACGCCCACAAACGCATCCAAACAAACACCACCAACGATGTTCGACGTACTGCCATATACATCGAACATATACTAATGGGAACGAATTTGATTCATATCCTATTCGCTATTATACGCAAGCTGACGTTTAGGGGTTTCGCTTATATGTGAGAAGCAATTATTTGGTTCACTTCACTTTCAATGCTTCGTTGCGCGTGCGCATTACTCATCTGCTTTGTTATGAAGCTTTTGTCAAAATGCTTAGTAACGCAATTCAATCGTCCAGTGTAACAGGGGTCATTATTCAACCTTACTCTTGAACCCATCGTCGCTTTCCATTGGATCTAGAGGAACAATCGAAACCTTGCGAATCAAGATGCTCATCCCATGCAGACAGATCGCCTGAAATTACATTCGTATGATGTGAGACTCAACATTCACCAGGAAAGTAGAAACATTTTGTCATTAAAAAATTAATTTGCTTCATGGGTGACAAAATGTTTCTACTTTCCTGGTGAATGTCGAGTCTCGCATCATACGAAAATAATTTTAGGCGATCTGTCTGCATGTGGTGATGCTTGAACCCTGATTAGACGGGGGTATATATGAACGTTAGAAGGGAGTCTGATTCAATAAAATAAATTGTCAACACGTGAATTTAACATGCATCAGTTTACCTTGGGTTTCGAAAGGCAGTCCATGGTTTATAGGTTTTGACCCTTGGGAACTGTGAATGATCCTAAAAGTTCATTCATGTCCCCGCTAGCTTGTCTTGCCTGAACAAACAATCCTTGGAAGTATTTGTCACTTGTGTTGCGAACAGTCACTGAAAAAATCAAAACCCATATTTGTTAAAATTCATTCATTTCAGGCTCAGAAACTGCGTCAAGATTCGAAAATAAAAATCTCAAAAATCGAATATCTAAATTTAGAAATAAGTTGTACGAGTGGTCATTAAGATAATACAGAGATTTCACAATGCTTAAAGCGTGTTTTTAAATCCCTTATGTTTATAAAGTATAAAGAGTGTGTATATCATATTTGTTCCGCAACTCATCCATTAATTTATCATATTCATACAGTGGTTGGATATTACCAAAAACGCAAATCACATCAAAAATGGAGACTTTAATTAATTAAAGGCAGGGCTCCACTAATAAAAAATAGAAATAGAAAATGATGTAATATAATGTTTGAAAATTTAAACGTCCACAGACTCCTCAGACCTCAGACCTGTTTTTTCCATATATCTCTTTATTTTTGCATAGCAGCAGCTAAACTTTGTCACAGTTATTCATGAATATCTTTAAAATCTGATGGGAGTTTAAAATAGTAGTTCCTATCTGCCTTAAGCAATGTAAAGTAATATATAAAACTGTTAAAGCAGATAATAGGCTGCATCAAAATAGGGTTGTGGTTTAATTTATCTGATATGGAAAGGAATCCCTCAGTTACATCACTCAGTTACAATCTACAGGTAATGAAAAATATACAATGGTTGTAATTCATTCCAGAATTCCCACCAATTCAGAGAAAGAAGATACTCTTCATGTAATGTGTTTCTTTTTAATAGACTGCGGACTATTCTGTAGAAGTGCTCTAGAAATGGATCTCGCTTTTCATGGAAGGTCACACATTCCAACATATTTCAAACAATTTGTATGATTATAATAGACACTTTCTGGGTAGTTGGACTTTATGTAGGGGTGGCAGAAGGCCCTCGGGCCAATTTATACCCCTACCCCAACAAAACCTTGGGGGTACTTTAATACCACCCAATAAAAATAATACTAATGCATATCAGATATTCATCGTTTTATAGTGGGTAGGGCATGCCATGGTTAGTCAGTGCCAGAAATTTCCAATCTCTGACTTATATGGTTACCATGGAAACAGTATTTATATCTCACAATCTTCTCAATTTGACCCCGTCCCAAATGTGTCCTTAAGTTCTCAAAGTGAAATATTTGCAAATCTGTTTGGATTTTGTGGCTGCAACTTTGTCAAAAGTTGAATTAATATGTATGTATTCACACTAAAGCACTAAAAACTTGATATAATGATCTCATAAATTAATAATATTTATCAAATGTAGTCACACACAACTGCTTTTAGGGAAAAGTGGGCGTGGCACTTTTTGGTACTTGTGTAATTGTTGCAGCATTAAATGAAAAATACTTATTACACTAACAACAATTGACATTTAATTAGCATCTACTAACATTGTGTAACATTGTAGTATGTTGATTATCATTATTAGATACTTTAAATATTTTATATAAGTGTTATCATGACCCTTCCCTATCATAGGTCATTAATGGTCAAATTAACTTTTAAGTCCTAGAGGTCCTTAGTCTTTTTAGCTTGTCAAAGTCGTATTCATTGACTTGAAGCTAGAATATAAATAGTTTCATTGATCAAGAGCTATGAGTTAAAATTGATTAATACATTTGTCAGGGTTAGAGCCATTTTATGCAATTGAAAAGTAATGGACCGACACTGATCAGTACCAAGCGAAGGTAACGGCCGTAACCGTCGCATCTAAGATGGCGGACAGTAATTGTCGATTTTGATATTTTTAATTTTCATTGAATTAAACCACTTTAGAGTTGATGTTATGCTTTGACATTTGCACCAAATCAGGCTTAAATGACATTGGAACCATAGATGTAGTAAACATGAATAAATGATATGTGAAATGTTATGCCCTGCCTTAATACATAACTAAGATTTTCTCGGATAAATGGTGTCTTACAATTGACTAACTGATTCTATTATCAACATCAGGTAATGCATGATCTATCCAATGGATTAATGAAAATACTTGATTCCAATATGGCAAAATAAATTATTCCATGTATGAATTGCATAGTGCATCATTTTGCAGATATTACTTTATGCATTCATCGTCTCATGGTCAACAAGGTACGGGTAAAACACCTTTTAGTATTTCACAAAATAATGAAATATAAACAATTTACACATTTCTGAAATGCTGTACCTTTAGTGATTCCTTCGACCTGGAAAGTGGTTTGTTATATTAAAACTTAAAATAATATCTAAACAAATCTGTTTAGTGTATAAAAACAATAAAAGTTAATATGTTTAATATCAAATATTATTAGACATATGAATATAACCTAAAATAAGAAATCTTGTTCTCGTATTCCATTTTAAAATTGGTTGAATGATTTTGGCACAGTAGAAATGATGGTCATGATTAAATATTATATGTAATATGCCCTGATGCTGTAACATCAATGGTCCTTTATAATCAGGTATGACTGAAATACTGGACAAGATCTTATAAGGTTACAGTTTCCATATAACGTATGTTCCATATTACTACCCCAAATCTCCATTGTGTAAGTTTATGAGTCATTATCCCTCATAGTTTATTATGGCAAATGCCTATCCTTGTCTAGAATATGTCATTTTATCAATTTTATAAACAAGTATACAATTACACGCCCCCTCCCATCAAATCTTTCTACCTCTATCTGTTATGATTCTCTGTCAGGCTTCCCCAATTTTCCATACTGTCAAGTGAACATCTAAATAGGATAGTTCTAGCTATTGCTGTTGTTTTGAAATGTTGACTTTTCTTGGGGAAATATTGTTTCAATTCTGACAGAAGTTTTTAGCCAATATCATTCAATTTATCAATATCCAAACGCAGGGTTTCAGAAAGTATGCATTTTGTTTGTGCCTGTATTTTCATCATGTGTACTTATTAAGACAGCTATATTTAAACGTAAATACATTAAAACATGATACATATAATCTTTTGACAATTTCTTCAGTAAAGTGGCCATTTTGAGAAATGATATAGCTTGTACCTTTGTTTGATGCTCAACAAGATGTTCGACTGGATTTGCCTTTGTCTAATTCATATATATACCAAATACGAGAATCAGAATCTTATTCTACAAAAGGGGTGTTCATGGAAGTAGCACTAATTATTGCATCATTGCTATAAATCATGTGATTTGATTGGCTAATTCAGAACCATGTGACTAAAAATACCAGCGTATTTCACAGCTCACTGAATTATTTCCATATTTAAAAGACGTATTGTCCAGCGTATTGCCCGCCTGGGGATTCTGACAACTGTACTTTCAATGATTTTTGCAACATGTATTACCATCGCCCTACGGGCTGCGGGCAATACATATTGCAAAAATCATTGAAAGATGAACAGGTATTGCCCTCCATAGAATGAAATATTTGCTTAACATTTCTTACTGTTTCGGGCTTAATATCAATTTTGTTATAAACTGAACAAAGCGGCACCTTTAACATGCAGCTAATTCTCCCATCTAACCAAGAGAGCCTCTTTTAATATATCGAAATTTAAAAATTGCCTCTGATTCAATTTGTTCAATCAAATCTAAAATGGTAATACCTTTTTACTGCTTCGAACTTCCTTATATTTTATACCATTGGGGTAGGATGTTTGTCTCTTTCAATTAATGCTTTCACCAGAAACATGGATATCACTAATTTTGATTCATATTTAAAATGGTGTGCATGAATAGACCTGTGTATTTTATACCAAATAGAGACACTTCCCTGGAGAGTTCTAAATCTCTATATGTTAACAGCCTAGTTCCCACATCCCTTGTTGACTTTGCTTCCATATTTCCTGTGAAGCCGTGGAACAGTTCTCTTGTTCTTCACAATTTTCCATTTTAATGTAATTCAATGAATAAGGCCAATTCATATCACTGGCTTCCCCAGGTCATTTGAATTCCTTGCAATTTTTAAATCAGCAATAAAGAATAATGGGTTAAATTATCAAATAATGAAAAAGTTGCAAATTATGAGATTTGTTATATTGCCTCGAAATCTTGCTGAAGTGTAGTTTAACTATAGGTTAACAGGCTAAATTCTCATTGAGATAATTTTAAAGAATCTTAAACATTGACTTATTGTTTCAGTGGTCCTATTAAAGTTCATGTGTACACAATCTGAACAACATCCAGTTTCAAACACTTCTGATTATCATCAAGTTTCAAACACAATCTGAACATCATCAAATTCAATGCAAATGCAGTTTTACTTTAATCCAACAGAACGAATATGGTAAATCAATAGACTAAGTGACACATGTCAGGTCAATGGTAAATACTTGTATCTAGCCCAACTAGCACAAGTGCTGCCATCTACCGACTAGTAACAATCCATCTATCCATATACATAGCACCTAATGAGGTCACGACTTCAAGTAAAGCTTTTTCCCTTGTCTATGGTAAAAAATAAGTTAAACAGAAAAGTAAGTTTGACACCATTGGTGATGCCCACCTTGTATGGTATAGGGATAAAAGGAAAGTTCATGATAACACTTACATAAAATAATTTAAGTATCTAATAATGATAATGAACATATTACAATGTTACACAATGTTAGTAAATGATAATTAATGTCAATTATTGTTAGTGTAATATGTATTTTTTGCTTAATGCTGCAACAATTACACAAGTTCCAAAAAGTGCCACGCCCACTTTTCCCTAAAAGTAGTTGTGTGTGACTATATTTGATAGATATTATTGATTTATTGGAGCATTATATCAACTTTTTAGTGCTTTAGTGTGAATATATACATATTTATACAACTTTTGACAAAGTTGCAGCCACAGAATCCAAACAAATTTGCAAATATTTCACTTTGAGGGCTAAGGGACATATTTTGGAGGAGGTCAAATTGAGAAGATTTTGAGATATAAATACTGTTTCCATGGTAACCATATAAGTTAGCGATTGGACATTTCTGGCACTGACTAACAATGGTATGCTCTGCCTACTATAAAACTATGAATATATGACATGCATTAGTATTCTTTTTATCAGGTGGTATTAAAGTACCCCCAAGGTTTTCTTAGGGTGGGGGTATGAATTGGCCTGAGGGCCGTCTGCCACCCCTACATGAAGTCCAACTACCCAGAAAGTGCCTAGCATAATCATACAGACTGTTTGAAATATGTTGGAATGTGTGACCTTCCATGAAAAATGGAAGTTGCAATTATCAGAGTAGTCCACAGTCTATAACGTTCGAGTTAAGCATAGTACAGCGATAGGACATTTCTTTATCATAGTGCATTGAATTGGGACGAACATAGTGACAAACAGACAGGCAGAGTGCTTTGCTACATATCCCTATCACTAGTATGAGACAACAAGAGTGGGTACAACATTTATAAATGTTTTAACAAAATCTTAAAAAAGAAAGTGAAGGTAATTTATTTTTCCAGTTGAAAGGTTGATTTTTTGGACTGCAAAAATGTACGTATGTCATTTGTCAAATGTAATATGTCAAATACTTGTACTGTATATCTCTCATTTATTCACAAGTGTGAATTCCAAAAGTGACTAGCTGTGGGAATATTTAATTTGTGAAATATAGCATGTCATATATGTATTCGTTAACAGATTTTTGAAAGCGTTCCTTACCAGTAATAACGCTACCCGCTGCAAACTTGTCTCTAGATATATGAACCTCAAATGGCGCGGTCGTGTTCTGGGAAGCATGATGGTGCCCCTTTGGAAACATTTTCTGACATGCAGGTAGTGGTATGCCACTTGAGTACCCCAAAACAACGCCTAATCCAACAACCGCCAGAAGGACTAAAACTCCATATATATGCATGCTGTATTCCTGTAATGACTGCTTGCTTTTATTTGAATAGAGGGTTGTGCTTTTTCCGCTTTTTTGCAACTATATTCTGTTCTCCAATTTAAAAAAAATGTTTTATTGCATGATTGAGTTCCAAAACATCAGACATGAGCAATATATCATAACTGCCTGACTGGACTTTAATAAGGTAAATGTAAATATAAATTCCTATGTAAACTACTCAAGATAGAAAGTTTCCTTAAAGTCCCCATGTAAAGTTTGAAAATATGTTTTCATCATTCATTTGCTATGAACTCATGACTTTTAGAGATTTTTGGGAAAAAAGCTGTCAGCTTTTCATTTCTCAAATATTCAAATATCCCGCCATTTTTCAAATTAAAGTTGGAATGTTTGTATCATCAAATACCACACTATACAGTGCAAAAACATTATCTTTTAAACACCAATGCAAATATTGAACAAATGTCACACTATTTCAATAATAAAATGTCATATCTCACACTACCCTACCACGCGTGACCACGTTTAAAAGGGATACAGTCTACAGTTAAGTTGCAAATGGAGGACGTGGGTTTATTTCCATATTTCTGAACGTAAACACGAGGGGAAAGAGTACCCGTGTATATACAACCTACCGCCGAGCAAAGACCCGAAGATGTCTGAAAATGTAGGGGGTGAGTTATAAACTTTTGTTTATATCTTGAATTTCTCAATATGAGAAACAGATAAAAACAGAATTGTGTGTAACTGATAAAGTTATTGTTCCAGGCACTCATGTTTGCAAAATAATGAGTACTTAGCGCAATGTTTACTATCCAATCGCTAAATTCAACTTTTAAATATTTGAATGATGATTTACATCTTGAATAAGTAACAACCATGGCTGTCTTTACTTCATTCGATTCAAAGATACAATAGGTGTAAATGTATCATATTTATTTCACTGCCATACGTTGCATATCATTGAAATCACCGGTGAAAGTTGAAAATGAAAGACCCGATTATGTCACGAGTACGATTATATAGGACCCGAAGCTACCACCGAGCTATTCCGACTATACCGTGAGTAGAACCCGATGAGGTAGTGAGCAAGCTTTCGAATGAGCATATAATATCATGACGATATCACAAATATTCCTTTTTATTTATCATATACTCCTGGCACCGGGATATAATATAATATGATATAATTCCCGCAGCACTATACGTCAACGTCTGTTTCCGACAAAGTTCTTTAAAACATTGAATTCATGCTTACACTTGGATCACCATAATTTCCTATGTGTCTATGGTAAGTGTGCAACCCAAAAACATTTAATTCTGCATTGCAAGCGCCATTCTACTCAAAGAACACAACTTGAAGAATCCCAAGCTTCACAAGCTTCATATCCTCGAAACGAAAATTACCGTGATCTTTCTTTGATAATACAATACCATAGTCAAAAACATTGTAAATCCATTTTTTTGCCATTTAACTCAGGCACATTAACTTTAATACTCTGGTGCTGACTGAAGTGGACCACAAAGTCATCCATCTCGTGTGATTTATAACTACAGTGGAAGCATTTGTACCGAGGACCTGAAATACAATGTTTCGATGTGCAGTGGTAACTGGTGATAGCCATATTTTTTTCCGTTTCATTTATTGTTCACAACAAAATGATTCACATGAATGATGCAGATTGTATGTTTATTATTTTTTCATCAGCACGTCATAAACTCGACGATATAATCGGATCTCAACAGATTTTACTCAAGTAATGTTCGGATTCTGAGATCCTTTACTCAAGATATTTTCGGATCTTTATAATATTACTCGTCGATCACACCGGGTCCGATGTCCGATAACATCGGATCTTTTAGGACAAAGTTTAAGTGAAGATTTTGCTGTTCAAAAGTGCTATTTGATCTAATATTTTGACACTTAATATATTATGCATATGCACATTCATTTACCGACCCAAGTATGTCTTATGTATGGCTCATTATCAATTAAAGCGAGTATGAATGAGAAAAACAAATCGAAAACCATTATGCGTTTACCTTATCTCTTAATTTGGACATAAAAATATATTTCAACTATAATTCTAGGCCAATTGCGCCTGCTAGAACATCTTAGTAACAATTCTAACCATCTAAAGGAATTGTTAGTGACATTATATTACCTTTATTGTCCATTTTCCTACGAGATGACATTATCAAACATTTGCTCGGCGGTATATGCGTGTCTTGCTCGGCGGTAGGTTGTATATACACGGGTACTCTTTCCCCTCGTGTAAACTACGTTTTTTTCCTAGTGTTCTACCAGATATTTGAATCAATCAGTTTCTAGAATATTGTTAGCAAAAACCCCGTATAGGCAAAGATAGAGAATAGTGGGCGCAGTTAAGTAAAGATTGAAGGCAATACAGGATACTTTTAAGTCAATCCATTGATGTACAGGGCGCGTGTTAATTTCATATCTACTTCTTTTGACATTGATATGCAACATCCCCCCCCCAGTTAACTGTTATTTATACTGCGTGTCATTGTGCTATAATGTAGAATTGTAGATCTATAGATACGTTTTCTAGTATATTATTCAAATGTATTTTTGTGAATTAATTGTTTTTCTAAAAATTTAAAGATGAATAAAAAGTGCCAGAAATGTATCTTTATTTTGCCATAAGTCAGAACATATTGTTAAACATTTTTCCTCTTGTCACAAAGAGGACAATGTTTGTTTTGCGGTGTCTGGTGATGAGCGTTTCATGATTGAATGCGACATCACAGTCCAGAGCAGGATATAATCCAAAAACGTCTGACATTCAACATGTCATGTAATACTGTACATCAACCTGGCAATTGTTTTCAGTGTTAAAACTATGGAGTATTAAGTAAGCGTATAGTTATCTTATGAATCCACTTTCAAAATGGCAGCAATGATTATGTGCTAATTTTTTTTTTTTAATTCATTCTTCCGTGACCCACACCCACACATACATAGTTATTTCACAGTTTTAGGCATTTCCATATCACACCCGGTGATCGTACAAAAGTGATGGAGGAGGGCTTGGAGTAGGCGATTTCTGCAAGAAAACTCAACAAATTAGGAAGATTTATTTTTTCAAGAGAAAAACAACTGAATTGCCAAATGAATAGGCGCAGAGCATAGCAAAATATGTTAGGTCTTCTAGTATTTTTTTGAACTGAAACGCTTCGGAGATTTGAGATCTATTGAAAAAGGTGCATCATCACCATCGTGCAAAAGTCAATGTTTTTGCTATAAATCAGGCAACAATGGTCTACACGACCTGTAATAAATAGGTATAAGGGACGTTATTATCACAACACTAATGACATTTTTAAAGTTAGTTTCCATGCGTTATATATAAAAAATAATCGAAATAAATTAATATTGGATGGAGGGGGGCAATGGCGTAGCCAGAATTTGGTGACCAGGGGTTCTATTTTTTATGTTATCCACAAATCTCCCCCTTCATCGGTGTATCTCACAGTAATAAAAACATTTTTGTATTTGTCATACATGCAATTTACACCCTTCCAAAAGTATGGCAACCGTAACATCCCCATTGAGTGTTTTTAGTGATTCTTTTACTGAAAAGATATTGAAATCTTGGGGTAAAATCATACATTTTAATATAACATTTGTTTAATGAAATCCAAATCAAGGATTAGCATACATTGAGCTAACTTTTGTTAAAGGCAAATTCTAACATCTCTTTAAGGAACATATTTTTTAACGAGCTATTTTATTTTGAGTCCTCATTCCTAATTTATTCTTTAGAGTTCATTCAAAGATATATCATATTCTGAAACATGCAATTCCCACACTTTAATACTGAGATTAGATGATTTTTTTGAAAAGATTCTGAATCAAAAGATTTTTATTTTGTAATAGAGGAGTGCTCGACCTCATGTGCTCCGTAAGCTCTAACATTAAACATTTCAAAATTTAAATGTCAATGCCTTGCAACAAAAAACACCTAGTGCTGAAAACAGTTCTTTCTTTAAATTGAAAATAAAAAACAATCTGTAATTAATAACTTTGAAAACATTCCATTGTCCGTTCCGCTGTTTTTATTACTGATGACGAGAATCATGAACGTTTTGAGAAATGAAAACATTTTAGGTGAATTTGTGAACCATTATAAACTTGAATTTGTTTTTGAGAAATAAGTATTTTAATATTTTCTTAAAGAATGCTGTCAAATACTCTTTTGGACACACGATTTGAAACTGGCAAATACACTCCCCTCCAAATGTTTGGCAACCTTAGCTCCCTCATTGAACTACTATATATACTATACGTGTTAAAGCCTCTTTATTTTTGAATTTTTATTTAAATGACCTGCGAGGAAAATACTTATAATATTGATGGAAATTAACTTGACTACATTCCCAATGCCTCCAAAATTTCCCAATTTTTCCCCCGATTTCAATAGGTCGAAAATTGATGATAAATTTGATGAATTTTTTAAAATCGTCATTCCCATGTAAACCAATGGGCTCTACATTTTATTAGAAGATTAGATTCAACCGCAGGCCATCTGTAGTTGGGTCTTTGAAGTTTAAAAATCTCGATAATCCGTTGGCGATTATCAGTGGGTCAGTTTTTTAGAAAATAAAAAGTGATTATCAGGAACCAATGCATATTGTACTCCCTTAATCCATTCATTTGCTAAACATACAGTATATAATTAATGATATCAACATGATCTGAAACAATAACACTTCAAACTTGCGAGATGAACGTGCATTTGAAAAAAAACGTTTTTTCGCAATTGGATTTATTTTTCCTTGAAAACTTAAAGTGATGGATAAATACCCATTCGATCAAATACTTGTGTTTATAAATGATACATATGCTTTAAATAATAACTCATTTCAAAATGTTTCTATTATTTGATATTTGCTAAGCTTATTGGGGACATATCAGCCCCGGGGACTTAGCAAGAATTTTTTTTGAGTAAAACAAAACGGAGCCGCAAAAATTTGAAAGAAAATGTGTTTTCATCAGTATTTAGACAGTTGGTTTTCACCGGAGATGGAGCAGCTTTTAAGTTGGAAAATAAATTGTAGTACGAAATAATTGATATTTCTTCTTTGCATAATGTCATGATGCTCCCGGCGTGGTTTTCCCCAAATTAAACGATCTCACCCGTGTCTAAGGTTGCCAAACTTTTCGGAGAGACGAGTGTAACTTTATTATTTTTTATCTACTGATCATATAAATTGAATGTATGTTTCTGGTTATTGCAATGGATTTTTCCACAAATATTATTGGGGATAAATCAAGACCGGGTGTTCGTCCGAACCGTGGGCTTTCAACTAGAAGGGTAGGCAACTTCCCATACTCATACATAAACATTGCCATGGGTTTTCAAAATTGGAGAATGTACACATTCCAAGAAAATCTTATTTTGTACCTTTTATTGATGATTAAAAGAAATAACTCAAAAATAAAATAAAATTCTTATTGGTCTCTTTTGTTTACTTTTATATGATATTGAATATATTTTATGCTTAAATCATATTAAAAATTGATTTTTATTCAAAATAATACTAAAACATATACATGTATCAAATACTTTTTGAAATATTGCCATAAAAGGGAAGCATGTCATTACTCATTTTGAAGGTCTCATGTTATTACATAGAGTTGCATACCCTTCTAGTTGAAAGCCCATGTCCGAACCCATTGAAACCCCTCCCCCACCCCCTCCGGTCCCTACGGCTATGCGGTCCGTAGGAAAACACAATATTTGAAAATTAATGTAACAAAATTGTGTTTTTAGAAAGTAACTTGACTTGTTGGTTTTCCTAGATCCCCCTGCAAGGGATCAGCAATTCAGCATATTTTTATTGCCGATCCGATCCGTTTCACACTTTAGTTCTTATTTTGGATTTCGTTGATCTACTTCCGGATCCTCACTTCCGGTAAACGTGAATAATATTAATGATAAGCTCAAACATTTTGAAGAATTTAAGCACTCAGAGAGAAGTTATATTGAAAGATTAGAGTTGATAGGGTACTAAAAATGGAGAAAAATATTGTCAACCTACATAAAAAGCACAAGAGCAAGAAAAATATCCATAAAAAGACGAAACGAGCTTCGAAAAATGTTGGTGAAATTCAAAGACAGTCTCGCAAGCCAAGTGAAGCATTGAAATCAAAACTTGAAAAGAAAATGACGCTTAAGAAAGAATTGACTTTTAAGAAGAAAAGGAAATTAAAATCCAAGGAAGTTGGTGGTCATCCTTCACCAGCTAACTTAATAAAGAATCCCGAACAGTGCTCCTCAAACTGGAAAAAGATGATGCAGACAATGGAGAAAGAGAAACCAAAAACACCTAAAGTTATAAAACGTCATCAACACAAGGCTTCAAATGTCCGGGACAATCCGCAAAAAGAAAAAAAAGAGCCAACTATCTGGTTTGATGATGTCGATGACATCTATATCGATACCCTAAAAACGAAAGAAAAGGCAACTGATGATAGAAAGCATGCAAATAACAATGACCCTTTGGTGAAGCAGGATTCATTCAAAGGGAACACAAAGTGTGTCGCTATGGATTGTGAGATGGTTGGTGTTGGAGAAAATGGGAAGGACAGCGTTCTAGCTAGGGTCTCAATTGTTAACCAGTTTGGCCAGTGTCTTTATGACGAATATGTTAAATCTAGGGAACCTATCACAGACTATAGAACACATGTTAGTGGTATCACTCCAGAATGTCTGGAAAAAGGGTTACCATTTGAGCAAGTACAGAAGGAAGTGAGTGCAATTCTTGAGGGTAGAATTCTTGTTGGACATGCCTTACATAATGATCTACAGGTGCTATATCTCTCACACCCTAGAAAGAAGATCCGTGATACCCTCAAGTATAAACCATTCAGAAAACTATTCAGTGGGAGGAACCCTTCACTCAAGAAACTCTCTGAACAGGTCCTCAATGTCAAAGTGCAGGAGGGGGAACATAGTTCGGTTCAAGACGCACAAGCAGCTATGAGGCTTTATACAATGTACAGACAGCGCTGGGAGAAGGAGCTTAAAGACCATACATTTGGGAAATCCAAAGCTAAAGCAGACATTTCTAAAAGTGATATTGCAACTTGATAATAGAACTTTGCAATTGACATAAAGACAGAATTAGATTTACCAAGATACTACTAACAACTATTGACAAAACAATTTTAGAATATTTTTGGCTCAATATCATTCCTCATCTTGTCTATTTTCTAAAAATATACTGTATTTGAGGTCAACTAAAGATTTTTATAAGAATGTATTCATTATGCATCATTTTTATGTCACCACCAAAAAGTGGTGACATATTGTTATGGTCTCCACTTTTTATGACGGCGGTTGGCAGTTTGCGATCAGCGGTTGGCAAATTCTGTAACAAATTCTTAAAACTTCCAAGAACTTAACAAATACTGTTTAGACTGACTTCAGTTTTTTTCAAAATCATCTACAAGTTTTCAGAGGTTCAAATCTGACTTTATATTTCAGATTTGACCATCAGCATCCTTTCAAGGTCAAAAAGGTATTTTTTCAACTTGCTTCAAATTGACCAAATCTTTTTTTTCAAAATCATCTACAAGTTATCATTAGTTCAAATCTGATTTAACATTTGACCGTTATTGACCTTCTAAAGGTCAACACGGTCTTTTCAACTTGCTTCAAATTGACCATTTTTACAAAATCATCCAACGTTATCTGTCAAAAATTAATGACATTAGAAATTTCTGCATCTTAAGTCTTCATGAACCTCTATGTTTGGTAAGATATCACAGTTTAACTCTCTTTCCCTTCTAATGCCTTAATCATGGAGATGCATCATCCTTAATTTATACCATTTAATAGATTTGAGAAGGATATAATAAGACATACTGAAAATCAGATTTCATTCAAGTCAAAAAATTCTGAAAATTTAACACATCATCAATTTAATGAATTTCTTTTGAATGGTAACAATTTAATTTTTTTTAAAAATATACTGTTTTAGAAAACACATCAGACGCTTCTTTTGTTCTAGGTATCATATGTTTGGAATGAAATGGAACATCTATCCCAACCTCATTGGAACATAATGACATATAGGCCTGCACTTTGTGTTTAGGTCTCTCAATATTGTAATTGCACAAAGGAAAGTTTGGTTCATTTAAAAAAAGTATCTTGTAAATGAAATAAAAGGTTTAGTTTAATTTTTATCGATTTTTTTTTTGAATACTTTTTGTTAAATGAACCAAACTTTCCTTTGTACAATTACAATATTGAGAGACCCAAACACGTTGTGTTTTGTTCCAATGTGGTTGGGATAGAGATGTTTCATTTCATTCTCAAGAATTGGTAGAAAGGAACAAAAAAACAATTACACTAAAAAACAAAAAATTTTCACAAAAACAGTAATATAAAATATATATAAATAATTTTTGCATTACGTTAATTGTTGTCAATCAGTGGCCATTACATAAAGGACAGTGTTTTTTACAGAATGTTTTCAATTATGTGTATGTTGAATTCAGTTCGCCATATCAATACCAATCCTTTATTCTTTGCTGCCACTTTTTCACCACCATTACTTGACATTATAATAGTATGTAGGGGAAAAAATAAAAACAGAAAAACATGATTTTCGATACAATCAATAATGTATGAGCTTGTATATATTTTCAATAAACAAAGATGTACATATAATGTTCGTGTAATTAGTCCAGACCCTGGACAGAATAATAAATATTACTTGCATTGAATACAAAAATGGTTTTACATGAACAATTTTTTTCTTCACTCCATTCAAATCAATCTGTTGCTGGACATAGATTCGGACAACAAATCTAACCACTAGAAATTAATAAACACCTCTCTTGGAGTAATTGCTTCACTGCAACATTTCTTCCACAAATTAACCTATATATAGAAATGCATTACCATATTTAATTTTGTAGTCTGCAATGCCTCTAATAGAAAGCAAATCCCTTGACCTAGTCTTGCATCAAGCCCTCCTCCCATCCAGTTTCAGCAAAAGGAAGAGAGGTGAACAGAGACTTCATACAAGTGTAACAAGACTACTATTCAAATACTAGAACATTATAAAGAAACACTGAAATAAAAACAGCAAAAGAGGAAGAACTATCCCATAATTCATAGATCTTCAATTTCATCTCTACATGAAGATAGGTTCATCAAGGAATTCTGGGCCTCTTTATAGCAACAAATAATTACTGCAAGGTTAATGTTAACATGACATCTTTAGGTGAAATATATGTTCAATTTGGAAAACCATTATTTGTTAGAAGTAGCTGCATTAGGGATTAATAAATCTCCTGACTAGACTTTGGTTATGTATTTGAAAATATTGAACCATTTCCCTAACATCTACCAATTCTCTACATTGTCTAGACTCGCTGAATCCATATCAAATGATTTTCGAAAGGGTCTATACAAGCACTCCTTGAGAATGAGGGTCATTAATAGAAATTACTTAAAGACAATGGTAAACAGATATACATCTAGTGATGACAATGGTAAACAGATATACATCTAGTGATGTCATAGTGAGAGAACAGTGTATTTTGGAAATTTTCATCTTTCCAAGGTTTCTGTAAATGGCCCCTGCATCACATTATATTACCCAAAATAAGACTATTTTTCCAGGGAATTCCTAGAAATTCTGATAACAGTTGACAAAGTCACTAAATTGGAGTAGTTTTGCTTCAAGCTGATATGACCTCCCATCACCTAAAACCTAATCCTTTATAAAAAGGAGATGGATGGGGGGGGGGGAGGGGGGGGGGGGGTCTTGAAACTTGGTATCAAATCAAATATTACAATGGATAAATTCTGAACGTGTAATATTGGGGTGAACAACTGAATCCATAACAGTAATTTGATACATTCATTTTACTTTATTGAACAATTGTAGAAGAAGCCAACTCTTGAAAGTAGAAATGATCCTAAGATGGAAAGCATTATCTTTCAGCAGGTTACTATTATCGCCCTTTGAAAAACTGCTTGTCGTTGTCTTGTGCCACAAGATATTTGTGGTGCCCACTCACCCACCCAGAAGAAGAGAATGCTTCTGGGTGGGTGAGCAGGCACCACAAAAATCTTGAAATTTTTACAGATGCAAGAGCAGACTAATGCCAAGATCTGATTAGGTTCTAGGCATTCTGGGTAAATTACATGTCAGCCATTTTGCTCTTCAAAATGGGATACTTATCACCATGTGTATTGTTCATTATGACAATTATAACATGCAAGAACTAGGTTAATACTGTATTGTTAAAATCAATTCATACAAGGTCACAATATAATAGATCACATGTTATGTTCATGATATCTTGAGTTATCAACAGCTGTCACCTAATCTAAAAAAAACACATTCATGTTTGTCCTAGAACTAGATGAGCCTTGTACTTTTTTAACTACATACATGTACATTTAAGATGTACTTTTTTAACTACAGTAGAACCTGTGTAAGTGGACTATTGGGACCACAAAAAGTGTTCCACTTGTGAGGTGTTCCACTTGGGAGGTTCTACTGTATATACATGTACATTTAAGATACAAATGATATTTAAGCACTCATTGGCAATACTATCCTTGTCTTTATCACATCTTATGTAAGAGGAAGAGGAGTACAAATAGAAACTAGGCATTAACATGCAAAATGTCACCACCTGTCATTTGTTACAGACACCAACCACTGAACACAATCCACAAAATGTTGGAGACTATAACAATATGTCACCACTTCTGATTGAGAAGTAAAATAGAACTTACACTTATTTTTCATTCTGTTAATCTTCTAATATTCATTAACTTACAGGAAGTATCATAAGTGGGTAATCTCAACAAAATTGTTCCCTTTTGTTCCACTTACAAAGGTTAACTTTAAGTCAATTAGCCATGGGCTAAAGAAAGTGTTCCACTTATGGTGGTGTTCCACTTCCAGAGGTGTTCCACTTGTCGCATTCTTTATTTCAGGAAAGCAATTTTTTACAGTAATGTATCATCTTTCCATAAACTGATAAATGGGAGATTATAAACAATTTTTTCCTTTTTTATACTCTGAATCTAAAAAAACTTCACCAACTGATTGTACTAACATATCAAAAATCTTTCTGAATATTGTAAGGAATACATTGCTGGGGCAGTTGTACATGTTGCTTGCAATTTTGTCACTTTTCTTAGATCTGATTATGCCTTGAATATGTCCTGTTGAAGACAACATCATTTTAATTTTTCCAACACAGCCTGTTTTATCTCTCATTATTTTAATCAAGCTATTAATATCATCAGCAAATAATCAAATTCCATAACTTATTTACCAATATTGCACCATTGCAGAAATGTACAGCAGCATCAGCCTAATAAATTCAATCCAAATGTTGAGGCATCACAAACTTACATTATCATTACATAGAGTAGTTGGGCATGATACTACCCCACCTTTCCCACTCACTCTTCATAAAGAACAAGACATCATTGAGTAACTGACTAATCAACAGAGTAATATAGCTGCCTCAGATGAACAGTAATACATGTCTGGCATGAACTATAGCTGCCTCAGATGAACAGTAATACATGTCTGGCATGAACTATAGCTGCCTCAGATGAACAGTAATACATGTCTGGCACGAACTATAGCTGCCTCAGATGAACAGTAATACATGTCTGGCATGAACTATAGCTGCCTCAGATGAACAGTAATACATGTCTGGCATGAACTATAGCTGCCTCAGATGAACAGTAATACATGTCTGGCATGAACTATAGCTGCCTCAGATGAACAGTAATACATGTCTGGCATGAACTATAGCTGCCTCAGATGAACAGTAATACATGTCTAGCATGAACTATAGCTGCCTCAGATGAACAGTAATACATGTCTGGCATGAACTATAGCTGCCTCAGATGAACAGTAATACATGTCTGGCATGAACTATAGCTGCCTCAGATGAACAGTAATACATGTCTGGCATGAACTATAGCTGCCTCAGATGAACAGTAATACATGTCTGGCATGAACTATAGCTGCCTCAGATGAACAGTAATACATGTCTAGCATGAACTATAGCTGCCTCAGATGAACAGTAATACATGTCTGGCATGAACTATAGCTGCCTCAGATGAACAGTAATACATGTCTAGCATGAACTATAGCTGCCTCAGATGAACAGTAATACATGTCTGGCATGAACTATAGCTGCCTCAGATGAACAGTAATACATGTCTGGCATGAACTATAGCTGCCTCAGATGAACAGTAATACATGTCTGGCATGAACTATAGCTGCCTCAGATGAACAGTAATACATGTCTAGCATGAACTATAGCTGCCTCAGATGAACAGTAATACATGTCTGGCGTGAACTATAGCTGCCTCAGATGAACAGTAATACATGTCTAGCATGAACTCTGATGCAACTGCTATTGTTGGTTCACAAGAGGTGAAACATTTAGAGATTGGAGATTAAACGTGCATTCTGATTTCTCAGAGTCTCACTTTATCTAACGCTTTGGTATTCCAAAGGGTAATACTTGCTGTGGATACCACAATGCAAAATGTGGGTCAACAAATAAATGAAATGGTCACTAAGGACAGGTGTTCAGATCTACTGTAGTTCATCAACTTAGAATTGTTCACAACATGAAAGCAAATGCAAAACCCAGTCAGCATGACAACTATGGAGTTACCATGACAACCAAAGATTTTAATAATAAAGCTGCTAGACTAGTCTAAAGACTAGGATAATACTGGACATAGGCCCCATGAATGGCTGGGCACGGTTAAGCCTACGTTAATGATCGTAATACCATCACAATATCTCTCATTATGTAGATAACAAATGTTCACAAAAATGCAGATAATAATTTCCAGTTTCCTCCATCATTTGGACATAGGCCCCATGAATGGCTGGGCACAGTTAAGCCTACGTTAATGATCGTAATACCATCACAATATCTCTCATTATGTAGATAACAAATGTTCACAAAAATGCAGATAATAATTTCCAGTTTCCTCCATCATTGGACTATCTCCAAATATGGACTGTCATTATCACATATCAAAATAATACATTTGCAGAAATAGCACAGCATAATACATTTGCAGAAATAGCACAGCTTCAGGTGTAGAAGATTATTTCTGGGATTTGTCCATCCTCTACTGATGTGCCATTGTTGTTTCCAGCAGCGTAAGTGAATTGAAATGTGACTTTCCCGCTAGATACTGACTCGTGGGTCACTTTCCTTAAGCCCTTGGTACCATAGTAAGAGTCAGGCCCCTGAAAATGTAAAACGGGAACTATTTACGATATACAGAAGGCAATAGAAAACTAAACATTTGAAGAACTTAAATGGAGTAGAAGAGATAGAGCCGAGAGCGAGCTTAAAAAAAATTCCCACAATATTTTTTGCATTTCTACCTAACCTAAAGCCTATTTTCTAAAATTAGATGTTCTGTTCCTGGGGTTCTGTTTATTTGCAATTCAAATTGTAATTAATTACCAATGGCGCAAATATGTTCTAGATCATCCCAATATTATCATCGATGCTTAGCACATTTCAGTCATGTTAAAACACTTGCAAACAAGGCATTAACAAGATTAAGATGATTTTGGGAATGATTTTGAAAAAATGAATTGGTCAATTTGAAGCAAGTTGAAGAAAGACCTTTTTTGACCCTGAGAAGGTCATTGAAAGTGAAATATCAAATCTTAAGTCAGATTTGAACTTCTGAGAACTTGTAGATGATTTTGAAAAAAAATTGGTCAGTTTGAAGCAAGATGAAAATAAGACCTTTTTGACCTTGAGAGTGTCATTGAAGGTCAAATCTATAGTCAGATTTGAACTGTTGAGAACTTGTATCTATGATTTTGAAAAAAAAATTGTCAATTTGAAGCAAGTTCAAAAAAGACCCTTTTGACATTTTTGACCTTTAGAAGGTCATTGAAGGTCAAATCTTAAGTCAGATTTGAACTTCTGATAACTTGTTGATGATTCTGAAATAAATGGTCAATTTGAAGCAAGTTGAAAAAATACCTTTTTCGACCTTGAAAAGGTTATTGAAGGTCAAATCTTAAATATAAAGTTAGATATGAACTTTTGAAAACATATAGATAGATTTTGAAAAAAACTGAACTCTGAATGCTGACTGCTGAACACCATCCATAAAAAAGTTGGATAAAAACATTCCTATTTTCAATGCCAAAAAATATTTCTTACTTGATAAAAAATTTAGAGAAAGGCTTTCTTACCTTGAGAGTTGTAGATGCGATATAGTTAGTGTTGGGCAGTATCTCGACTGGTTCCTTGAACATCACTCTAAATGTAGAGTTAGATCCATCACATTGAAAACTTGTCTCGTTGGCAGCTATACACTTGCCACTGGAGTGGATGATCTGAAAAATAATGATAAGAAATGAAAGGTAAAATTGCTGTTCATGATCTGATATATGCTATACTTGTCAGATATAAGGAGTGAATGATCTGAAAAAATAAAGATAAGAAATTGCTGTTATAGTTCATGATCTGATGTATCATATGAAAGGGAAGTCATACTTGTCATATATAAGGAGTGGATGATCTTAAAAAATAAAGAAAAGAAATTGCTGATCTGATGTATCATATGAAAGGGAAGTTATATTGAGCGGATGAGCTGAAATAACAAGTGAGGTATCATTAGAAAGCATTGACACAAGAGTGAATGATGAAATACATGAATTATCTTAAGACAACTAAATGGAACTTAAGACTAAAGTTAATTATTCAAATTATGATCGATATGATATTGAGATTTACTGGAACTGTAATATATCATGTGCTATCTGTGTGTGAACCAAATCATCAGTGATATATCATTAGAAAGCATGAGGAAAAAGATCATGTTTTACCTGTATGTGAACTGAGTATTCAGTTGGACCATGGATACTACCATAAAGGCCAAAACCAACTACAAATATTCTCCTGTTCACCATGAACCTGAAACCAAAATGAACAATGTTTTATGTGGCAATGGATTTACAACAAGATACACTGTGATAAATATAGCAATTTATTTATCATGTAAAGAAATATAAGCACAGAAAGGATGACTAATATGCAGAAGTAGAACTTTCACTATTTACCAAGTCAGATCTGTGATAAATACTTTTATGTGACATTAAAATCACAAAATATATATGCCATTGTAGTGTTGCTGTTTGTAATGAGTTACAAAAACATTACAAAAAAATAATTAAAAAACAGTGCATGAAGGGGAAATCAAATAGATTTATACATCTGTGTTCACCTTATTCTGTCACAGGTTCCACTATAGCCCCATCTACTCTCTATCTGCATAAACCTGGACACAACCTGCTCCTTTCCTGTAAGGCAGCAGCGAGGCACATCCAAGAAGTTCACAGAAGGTTTCGGATTTACCGTGAAATGTAGAAATAATGCTACTGTTTCACGATCAGTTAATATACCACTCTGTGCAGCATTTACTGCAAATTCTTCAACAGTCATTAAAGGAAACCGAATAAGGTTCAAAGTTTTTCCAAGAACTGCTCTCTGATTGGTCGGTTCTGCTGACTGTCCAGTACGGATGCACTCAGCTTCAGCCCACCTGCATACTGCATTAAATAGCTTACACTCTCTTATCCCTAATGTGTCTCTTTCTAGCACCACACATAAGGTCTCAAGGTCGATATCTGTAAACCCCTCAGCAGCTAGTGCCTCTGATGTATTCTTATCGATAGTTTCTAAACACAAAGCAGCTAGCTGGGGCTCATCAAAAAGGCGGGCCTGGGTAAGTAACATAAAAGCATTGTCCGGGCTCAGATTCCGCTTTAAAAAATCAACACATGCTCTTTCTAATGCTGGCACAGCATATTTCTTGGCTGTGTATAATGTGGTCATTACTGTCTCTGGACCAATTTGTACTTCATCAGAATAGAGGAATCTTAAGAGTGCTAGAAAAGCTGAAGGTTCGACATCTGGGAGCTCTATTTCAGGCAGAGTGGTTGCCATACCTCCGTTAAACATAGCGTCAAACACAGCACTGCCTACAGAGAGAACAAACTTGTGAGCAGGGATACGTTTTATATTCATACCTTTCCCAACAATGAAATGTACATCTGCCATGATATCATTATTAAACATAAAACCAAGTCTTTCTTTAATTGTTGTCTTAGTTGCCTGCCAGTTGTGAGGTACAGGCATATTAGGACCTCCGATTTCTACTTCTTCAGCTCCACCAGCAGCTTCCAGTTCAGGCTCTTCAAACCGTTGAACAAGTGGGGCTTCTTTTTGATTGGATGGGTTATTGCGATTAGAACCAGCAGCCCTAGCGTACATCTGATATTGCTGTCTGGCTACGTTACTACTTGGGCCCATGTTATGTGCTTGGTTAAACCCACCATCTCCACCTCCATTGTTTGCTTTACTTGAAGCAAGATTGGCTCGTTGGGCAACACCATTAGCTTGTTTTGAGTTTGAGGCACCCAAAGTAGAACCATTTACCACTATGTTTATAGGTTGAGGATTCGCTGGTTGGTTACATGGAGGGTCTAAGGGCTCATTTTGCTGAGAACAAGGTATCATCTCAATTTCCTCGTCACAGTCTGAAGCCTCAGCAACCTCTATGTTCCCCTGGACATTCACCTCGTCCATCTCACGGTCTTCATCCATTGTGCCCTAGAAATAAAAACAAAAATTAATTTGCAAGATACTTTCAACTTTTTAAATATGGTAATTTCCTCTGATGTTATTGATTATTGACCAACATTTAAACATTTCAACATTTAAACATTATTGAAATGTGTTGCTTTCTGCTTACTGACTGGTTGAGAAAATGTCAGTGCAATGGGTTTGAATTGATTTATGACACAAGGAGAAAGCTGCGATTGGACAAACTCCGATTTTGCATGAATAAAACCAAGTATATGTATGGTAAATGTATTGGGGTTGGGTGTGCTAAACTGTATAATTGTCTAAATATTCAGAGGTCACTTTAGAAGTAAACAGTTTGCTATTACTGAACACACCTGTCTAAATCTAGCTGAGGAACCATCCACATAAAATGTTTAACAGAAAAATTTGAACTTGTGAGCCATTTATAATTGAAACATAAGGTTGAAACTGGGATTTACAATTATATAAAATAAATGTATCTATAGTTGCTTTATTTTTTACCTTCACTAATACTATTCTGTAGCAGAGGTTAATCAAGGTTTGAGAAAGTGAATGAAATTGCATTGATTTAAATCATCAGCAGCCACTACACTTACATGTATAATCTCTCTGTAGTTGAAAAATGGTTTTCTTTGATAATAACATAGGTAAATTAGTTTTCAATCCAGATGTATTTCATCAAATTTATAAAATTGCTTACTTACACTAGCTGTAAAATCAAAAGGTTAAGGATGAAAATAAATTTCATCAACGTATGCCATTTTCAATAGTCTCTTGACCAACTTTGACAAACGGGCGTGCGCATGTAATGTACAGTGCATTTACAGTGCAAATGCACAGGGAATTAAAAATGCTGCAGACCAATCTGAAATTTCTCCACTTTACTACAAATAAAACAACAAAAAGGCGACATTGTTATCAGGAGGTATGAAAAATACCGTTTCTTATCATGCCACGCTCACTTAAAGTTTGGAGAAAATCACCAGGCCTGACAAAAATTTTCAGTATTACGGTTCCTCAACTGGCTCTTGTCAGGTGTGTAAGTTTGATTATGGACTTTCTCTTGAAAACCAATTGATGGTGGACTTTCTCTTGAAATGAAAGCCCATGGTATTGGTTTGATGCAGTGGTTTTTATCTATTGATATCATAATGATCCATTAGAACTATTAATACATGATTCATTGGATACAGCATTAAAACTATACAAATCATATGTAAATAGCTCTCTGTGAATGATTCATTTCACTGAAAATTCTTCAGAGTCAGAATCAAAAAGATCGGGCAAAAAATCTGAAAATTGTTGTTTGCATCTTCAAACATTTTAAATATTAGGTCTAATGTCATTTATTTAGCACAGTATTGTAGACTATATAATTGTTTATGCACACACTTACCTCTAATTGGCCTCTATGCAGATATTATCCCTCAAAAACAACGTTATATGGAAGAATGTCAAACTTTGTTGTTTGCCATTTTCAGGATTTCCGGTCACACATGCGCAATCGACCGAATGAAACGAAAGTAGTGTTTGTTTACATCCGGTCAGTACCCGAATTTGATTTTATTCTCTACATGTTCCAAAACACCCCTGTGCTTAAAATCAGAAAATACAAATTACAATTACAGTCAAGGAACGTTTAACATGTATAATATGAATGTATTTATCCATATAATCATGGGCTAAGTTCATGATAAAATATTGCACTTTGACTTTTGATTGCTTATTTTTGCGCATGAATTTTAGTGTTTTATTGATGTCTCACCCAATTGAAATGGACTTCACTATATTGAATTGATTTATACAAAAATAAATCACGGTCTCCCAATCTTTCAACATCTTCTCTTTATTTAAGTTTGTTGACTAGAGACTCCAGTCCATAAATCTGAGGCAAACAACTCATCAAAATTTGTACATTTATAATATGAAATTTTTGACTGACATCAGAAGGCCTGAAAGTCTCGATTACATAAAGGGCCATGGGCAGTATTGGTCCTATGAAGTACAACACCAAGATTTTTCACCGTTGACCTTAGATTTCCCTTGCCTTTGTCAAAATACTGTCTCGGGCACTTTTATTGAAATAAATCAATTTTAGACTTTAGAAAAATGGCATATAATTGTTTCATTATCACAGCATTTTGAAGAATTACATCTACCACTCCCCTATCAGGTAATTCCTCGGTGTTTTCAAAATAATGTTGATTATCTGCCAATATGTCATATTAACTTTCCAAAGGTAGATGAGATTTTATTTTATGAGTTTTTCCTGTTACACCGATGCTCATGATACATTGAGGACATGTGGGTTTGTTCATTTAGTCAAATTATTAAACTATCGGGCCCTGCTAGTCTGTTCAGATGTGGTGAGAACCTTGCAGTATTAATTCAAAATGAGCTTCATAACTGAATGTACAGCCCTTGGTCCATTAAACTCTTTAGGTATGTTGGGCTGTTTCTTTTATCAAGACTGGACAGTAATGCTTTATGCTAGTCAAAAACACTCCAACTTATAATAAATATTTTTGAACTATATGATTTTCATGTTTAAGGGAGGGCTGTTTCTATTATAAAGTAATGTAATGCTTTTACAAGTCAAAAATACTCCATCTTACATGACTTATGAATACTTATAATAAATATTTTGGACCTTTATGATTTTTATGTTTTAGGGGCTTCTATGATGTTGAAAAACATGTGGTTTACAGTTCAGATAATGTTACACGATAGGCATTTCAAGGGCTGGACTGGAGGGATCAAATACTTCACATGAAAAAACACTCAACATTTTTGACTCGGGTTAATCAAGAACAGAACGAAGATATTATGATGTTATAGGAACATTGTATTTCATATACAAGCCATCTATTTCATACATATGAGCCACAATCTGTACAGTAATTACGTCCATAGGACTGCTTTACAAATAACTTAGCTAAAACACATCAAGGGGAAATGGCCACAATTTCAAATACATTTTTATTTCATACCATTCACGTACTATTTTGACATTTTTCATCATAACATTATATCATGCAGATAAAATCCCTAGCTTAAAAACTTTTGTTTAAAAGTACATCTTTTTTAAAAAACCTTTTTAAAATACATCTATCATAATACCTGTGATATACAAGAATGTATTTTTGCATACGATTGAATATACTACTTGTTTAAAGACTTGGCTGGCACCTGTCACCCAACTAAAAACTTATTATGTACAAGATTTTACCAGAATAACAAATATCATGTTTTTCACAGTAGTTTTTTGAAAGTGGATTGCAGAGATAGTAAAATCAGTAGGCAAAGAGGAAATATACATTTTGAATCCCTCAGTTTTATATTCTTCTTTGACATGCCCTATTTTCACACCCTCAATGCTGGATTCCACTTTTTACAAGTTTGTATTTTATTTATTAAAAGCAAATTCTACATTTTCTGAAGGGCACGGCACATAAAGTATACAATTCTCAAGACAACACTCAGTAAAATTCAACAATTTAAAAACAATAGATGCATTGACATTTGAAAAGCATCTGTCTTTTTTCTTTTTAACCCCTTCAGAGTTACACAGTTCATTAAATGTTTGGAATTGTAAGGCCAATGTATATTTTGACGGGCCATAGTAGGTAGTATTGGAGAAAAAGATAAAAGTAGCATGCACATTCAACACAGCTGTATGTACAATATGTATTTGAAATATCATTTGCAGAGAAAAGTGAACATCAATGGATGTGTACATTTTACTTTTGTTGCAATACAGATTTAAATTATTGTAGTATGTCCAAAATCCTCCATGGGCACATTTTTACATAATGTGACACTTATACAGTGATTAAAATTAACTTTACTGGTTTGCTTACGATTGTGACATGTTCTCTTGATGTGTCGGTTTGAGTCTGGTAGACTATTGTACATGGAGAATAAGAGGACATTCTACAAGTGGCCCTACTGGGGAGGGAGGGGGGTTCTACAGTACATACTAATGTGTTGTCTACATGCTTAACAGTCTTCTCCTTTCCCATACTGTTCTATCATAAAACAGTCATTTTCATAGATACTTTGAAATAGACTTTACTGGAGGTCTCGTTTGTGGTCTCTCATATACATATTTTGATTTACGTTTAGAGATAAACCAATTTAATAATTGCCAAAAAGGATAAATACACCTTGGGTGACTCTGATTCATCAATTCTTCAGCATCTCTAAAGAAAATATTTCTTTAGTCAAAATATGAACTGTTCAATAAAGTTAATCATTCTCAAAAGATGTCTCTTGATGAGTTCTAATAAATGATTGCTATTTTCCTGTTGTTGTATTCATGAAGTAATTATTAATGAGGTTATCATGGACTTCAACATTGTCCCGAGGCAAGAAATTTTACCAGCTTAATTATGAATACAAGCTATGGCTTGGAGGTCACATCACATAACATTCAGTGTCATCATAAATTGTTATGTGACTAACACATATTTCGGTATATCGCCAAGTTAAATTAGTCTTAATTAAGTGCGGATATAGACGCAGTGCTAAAGGTGAACATGTTTTAGATGATGCAATTCGAATTGAACTTGAGACATTGAACTTTCTGTATAACAGAACTTTAGTTGAATTTCAAGCCAATATTACAAGAAGCAAGTATGGGAAAGAAGTTTGACTGTACTCTATTTGTCTGTACACAGTAAAATCACTATGTCAATTAACACTCAGCAGTCCAAAAAACTCCAATCTGATTGTATACCTGCAACTTGATTACATCATGTCATTGATATACATCCAGACAGTAAACTGCAGCCATGTAAGCCCCACAGAAACCTTGACACACATAATACTACCCTAGCCTATATACTGTATAATCTAGTTAGTCTATTAGAAACCAGGTCAATATTTCAATGTTTCCCTTGAATTTCACTATCTAATATGTATCAGACTGACCCTATCCCTCTCGCTAAAAATGACATAATTTGTATCCAAATTAAGACTCATTATACATATGTACACTAACGAAATGTAATGGACTTTCATGACCCCCTCTCAATGGATGTAATTATAATTAATTTTATTTGTGGGTGCACATTAATATATTGACCAAATCCCTTCATTTATATTATCTTAAATGTCACAATTTCACATAGATTTATTTCATGATCATTTGTAATCTACGCCAATTGTTGTTCACTACACAATTTGGCAACATGTCCATAATTAGAGCTACACGTTCATCATCAGAGCTAGACTGTACACAACCTATGCAATATTTGAATATCCAATTACCGACTAATGCTAAATATTCTTCCCACACGGTATGTCACAGCAGCCTGTTAAGTTAGTTTTTATTTCCTATATGTATGAATTAATGATATCACAATGACCTTAAAAACAAATGATATCATAAACAAATTAATGCCGGTGAATATTCTCATTAGGAATTCATGAATTGAAATCATAATAAAAATGGTTTTGGTCCAAGAAATAACTTTTTGCTATTGTTTCGAAGGCAACCTGCTGTGACATACATAGCCTGGGGGTCTGTTCTAATAGTTACCCAATCATGGCACATTATAAAATACAGTATATAAAATGCGTATCTTTGGTTTGTTTCATTGCATAATCTGTATGTGAACAAGTAGTTGTTGAAAATATAGTCCAGCGTTGTCTAAAGCATACTCTGGCTGGAGTTTGAATATATTGATATACAGTATAGGCATATTTAACAAGTCGTGGTTGACTGTTGTTTACATGGCTGCACTTCACTACAACAATAATATTGTTGTCCTCTCAAAATAAATAAACACAACAAGACTGTTGTGTATGTACAAAATTTAACAGATAGATACATTATTTACAATCATTCAGGTTGTATCCTGCATCAAATACTAAAACTTTTTAAACTCTTGTATATTACAATCAAGAAAATATTTAGAACAACCCTCGTATTATTAATCCTCCATAAACAAAGTCAATAACCTTTTGTAATTTAACCCTGTACTGTCTGATATTGCTTATTCTTCACACATACCATCAATATCCAAATAAAACATTTTCATATTATGAATGGTTGTATTTAGAATGACTATTTTCTGTGACCAAGGAAGAAAACTATTGCAAACTTGTAGATAATGTTAACAATTGTAATGAAACCCTGTTTTACTACTGTAATGTCTGATATAGCTCATTCTAACACTATCCATATTAAAATCATAAGTACAGAGAATGGCTATTTTCTGAGAATAATAAGGAAGAAGATACTATTGTGGATATATATTTCCCCAATCCCCACCATGACCTGTAGCTGAACTGGTTATTAAACACAGTGGAGTATCGCCCCAGGGGTTCATCAGCAACATGCAATTTCCCCTAGTTATTTAGTTATTTTTACAAAAAGTCCCTATTGTCTCGAGAATTTTTTTGCAACTGTTTCCAAGTCAAAATTGCTAATAATTTTGTGGTGTTTTCATTTGTTTTTTCCTGTTTTGTTAGAAATTCTATGAAAGGCCTGTTCCTTATATTAAAACATGTTGTGGGATTTATAATGCAAATACATAGATAAAGTATACTGACTATAATTCTCTAATGGAACACAGTACGGTATGATTGATGTACATTATCAACTAGAGTGACCTTCATGAATACTGTCAGTAAATATGAAAATAACTTTCATAAAATCGGATGCAGATGTTTTGGGAAATGACAAAATATTGTAGAAGCATTACTAAGTATTGAATACAATGGTTATTATGAATTTTGAGTTCCATATTTAATTTGTTCAATCTTACATATTAGTTCATGTTTCCATTGCTAAGTGTTATTTGGGTGTAAACATGATCCTTTGTAGGATAGAATACTGTACACGTTCCTGATTAATAGAGATAGAAAATGAATGAAGGTAAAATACCAATGAGTAGTAATTAATCCCAGCAATAACACTTACCAATGAAAACTAACCAAGACACAAATCTCTCTTAACTGCTATGCATATGCATAATACTTCTGTCCAACCAACCTGAATGATATCTCCATTTTTATTCTCAAGTGCACGAGCACTCATAATGTTCACTAAAATCCTATATTACTGCCATTTAGATGAACACATTTTATTCTTTTTATTCATTTCTGTTTTTCTAGTATTTAATAATTAGATTGCTTTTCTGTATCTGGTTTCAGCCCCTACCATTCATGCTGCTCCTCACTTCAATCAATTAAACAAAGGCCTGCTCTTAATTCAGTCCCCAGCCAATGTTGATTGTTCAAACTGTACATTATCCTTCAATTAACACATGATAGGGGCTCTAAAGCTCAATATCCCATTCCATTCTACTTTTAACTCTCTGGTAGTCACCTTCAATGGACAATACCTCATCATATTCCCAATAACAATACCATGCTTTCTCATCATTCTATATGTACCCTACGTGTAGGCCCAGAGCCTTTAATACGCATCGTGCAGCACTTCTCTATTTTGTGCAGCACTTCTCTATTTTGTGCAGCACTTCTGTATGCAGTGTGCACCTATTCTGTGTTTGCTCTGTTATGCGTACAGCATACAGGAGCCGCGGCGTACCTGCCTCGCTGGCTTGCCCTGTACTGTTGGCCCACACTTTGAGGAGGTCCCGTGAATTAGCCAAGCCTAGTGGTAATAATTACTATAGTAGTAGTATATTCCCCAGTTGTGTCTATGACAGCTTGCCATGCCTGTTAAAATGAACACACTACATTTGCCTCTATCTATAATCCTCTCCATGTATGCATTTAGTTCACCCGATGTGTGTGTTCAGCTCCCCATAGCCTACCCTACACCTCACAGGACCTGCATTGATTGCTTAGTCTGGCCTGGGTGATGTTAATGGCTGGCTACTGGACTCTGCTGCACACACACACCTACCATTGGGCTCTCTTCACTACGATCTGAACTAGTCCGTGTATGCGACTGACTTGAACCCTCCGTAAATGTCGGATTTGAACTTGTACTTGAATATGATGAATAGGGGACTTGAAAGTTAGCTCCAGCTAGATAGGTAGGCTGGGGGTGTTGAGGGTACTGATGGCTAGCCCCAGTGCTTGGGTGGCTATAGTTGGTCAATTGCATGTTGCCAGATCCAGTCTGTGTTGTGTCCAATGTTGCGGGTGCACCTGTAAAGTTGGGTGTGTATTCAAGCCCTGTGCTAGATGAGGTTGGGATACGGGGCGCGGGAGGCCTCTGACTGTCACTAGAAGTATGAGCATGAGATGGAGAATGGTGGGGACGTTGTGATTGGTTAGAACCACTGTTGCTACGCCGACCCTGGTCCCCTGTCCACGCTTGCTGGTAGAGTTGTAGTCGCTGTTGCTGTGAGCCAGGTGACTCACAGTCCATAGCATTACTCGTAACTGGCCCCGTAACACTATGCTGGCCCCCTTGGTGGACTGCAGAGTGTGACTGGGGATGCTGCTGACCTATGTGACCCCCATGTTGGTGAGTAGGGTCTGACCGAGCACGACCGCTACTGGTATTAGCAGCTGAAAAATAACATCATCACTTTAGAAACAGAACATCATTTATTATTTAAGTTTACAAGCTGGATCTTAGTTAGCAATCTCTTAGGCTAATGAACTCTTGAATGTATGAATACAAAACTGAAATAAAAATAAATATTCATTCTTTGAACCATTGAGCCCACATTTATAGATGATTATTATCGTGTCTAGTAATTAAGTATAATCATTAAACCAAGAGATTTAAATTAGATTAGGGCTGACAAGAAAGTCACCCCACTCTGGCAAGTACTGAACCTGTTTGACATCACATTCTCCACTAGTCGAGCAACAGTAATTACTAACCCTGTGAGGGGCTGGCTGCAGCGGTCTGCTCCATTGCAGGGCTGGTAGACGTACTATTAGAAGTATTAGTGCTTTCATCTGTTGTCCTCTTAAAGAAGTTATGCTGAAGACAGTAATATGGAGTAATCCGGTTCTTGGGATCAAAGTCCAACATGCGCATGATTAGATCTTTGAACTTGAGATAATCTGACACTGAATGACCTTGCTCTCCTGCTCGGCGCCCTCCAGGGCCTCCTTTCTCTGCTCCGATGATGTCATGCAGTTTACGTGTACATGGAGATTTGTACTGAAATGAAGCAAATATTTGTTTAACTTTCATTTTATATAGTTTTAAAGAGGAAGGAATAACTGAAATAAAAGAATCAGTTGTGTGCCAAACAATCAGGGCATTGGTTAAGTTGATTTCAAAATAGGTGAATGCTAGTTCTGAGTTGAACTAGTTTGAGTGGTGCATCATAGGGAAATAACTACATCATCATCATCATCATTTAGCTTTGTATTTTTAAATCCAGTATTTTAGATCACTGTATTACAATGGGGCTTAAGGTAGATAATACACTTTCTAATGATTCTTACCACTTTTAATAGTGAAACTGATGTTAGACATGATTTACGAAGGAAGCCATTAAATCTATCACAAATACAACAAATGGCTATTTGAAAATACCTTTTTGCCATCTTTAGGTTTCTTGCAGACATAAGTACCATTGGGCAGTTTATCAAAGTATTTGCGAGCCTTTGGAGCATTATCCAAGATGGAAGCTGGAGGAATTCCTAATACTTCAGTTATCTTCATCATCTGATCGAACTACAAACATAACATTAAATATTAAATATACTGAACAAAATGGAAACAAGGACTGTGATTGAAACTGATAACATATGTGCTTCATCATGTTTTTGGAACTTTTTTCCAAATCTTATCGACTGTATAGTGTATGTATCTGACTATAGAGTATAGTTGTAAAATTGGAAAATGTAGCAATGACTGGCAATAAAGGATCTGATAATGATCTGATAATTTAATGCTTCACAAATTTGACCAGTACAAGTATAAATAAACACTTCAATGACCCAAATTAGTTTTCCTTACAATATTTCTCTTCCAAAAATATAATTTTGATCTACATGAACTTAAATGTAGTTTCCATGAATTTTAGGTACTTATAGGCAGAAAATATAATACAAATACAAATTCTTATTATATTGAATATTTCAAAGCATTATATTTATGCGGAATAATGCAGATGAAGTTGGAAACACTTACCTCATTAGATCCAGCAAATAGGGGTTCCCCAGTGTGCATCTCCACTAATATACAGCCGAGGCTCCACATGTCTATAGCCAAGTCATAGGGAATACCCAGTAATACTTCTGGTGAGCGATAAAACCTACTCTGTATATACTGGTATATCTAAAAACACGCAAAACATGAGATACCATTATTGATAAATTATATAATAAATATGAATAGATAAGACATGGCTACATAGATTTTCTAGCAAAACAGGCAAAAATGAATGAAAACTGGCAACAATCACCATGGACACAGTAGATCAACTCCCATAATGTACCAACAATGCAGAGTATATCATTGTTTCAAATGACAACAATTCTATATTTCATATGTAATTCCCATTCTATTGAAACTAAAATGTTTCATATTCAAATAGTATACTGTGACATCAATCCATTAAGCTCATGAATCATAAAATTATTCATCAAAAGAATGAAAACCACGCTGATCTCTTAACCAGAACAGATATAAGTCAACGTAACAGTGACCAAAGTCAACGTAACAGTGACCCAGATGATGTATAGCTTAGCTATATAGGCAGTAGTCATGGCATCATAACACTAGATGACAACAAAACACTGAATATTGTTTTATTTTTAGTACTTGTGTCATCAAAGTGTTTACAATGATGCGTGGAATTGTTTACTTTATTGATTGAAACACAATTCAATCTTAGACTCCCCGATTCACTAAATTGTGAATTGTCTAACAATTAACACCTGTGTATCTTGTTCCATGGATGATAATTTTTAATCAGGTTACCAAGTTTTATTCTGCTCTAACACAGCTTGTAATAGTTGAAGGCAATCAGGCAAATACTGAGTATAGATATCTTAATATAATACATATGATGACATTACATTGAAATTAAAAACGTAGTTAATTTAGTAGGAATTTTGTATACAACTAAGTGCACACTTATGAAAGCAATTTTTATAGCTGTAATTGCCCTCCATGGAACAAGTATTTCAAAAAATTAAATAAATAAAAAAACAAATACAGCCAAAAAGACTAACCCTCTGTCCTAACTGGCAGGAACTCCCAAAGTCGACTATTTTAATTGCACTTCGTTTCGGATTGCACAATAGAATGTTCTCTGGCTTCAAGTCACAGTGTATAATGTTCAGCTCGGGGGTGGCAAGGAATAGCAAAGCCGTACACAGCTGTTGGGCAAACTTTCGTGTCAGATTCAACGATACTCCACGGAAATTAGTATTCCGTAATAGGTCATAGAGGTTGTATGATAACAGCTCAAATACCAAACATAAGTGGTTGCGGAACACAAAATGTCGCCGTAGTTTGACTGAAAATAGATAAAAAATTCCATTATTACAGGTTTAGTCAACAACATGTTCATATTTGAATTTATGTTTAAAAGCCTGAAAGATTTTTCTTACTGGTCTGAAGAATATGGCATATCTCGGTGGAAAGATGGCACTCACTGTACCAATTATATTCTAATCCAAGATGAGGTATTGGCACCTGATTTTGCTATTAGCAGTGAAAAGGGATAAATGGGGTATAATGGCAATTTAAGGGTGTATCTTAAGTAATATAAAAGACATATTGGCAATATAGTAGGCAAGGCAAGATAAGGTATTTAAAGGCATTAATGGTGGTATAAAGGAAATATTGGCAATTAATAGATAATATAAGGTATATATGGCACAAATACTGAACATATATATAATAGAGGGTACAGAAAACAGACAAATATTAAAATTATGGATAAAGCAATAAAGTACATATTGCTTATTTATATATCATAAAGGCCAGGTATTAGGCAAAATTAAATATATACAGGCAATATATGATCTGTGCATGATATATAGGTCTTTATACAAACTAAAGGCTTTTATATATAGATTATAGGGTCCAGAGAGTTTGGGGTAAACAGACTAAGAGTACATTATTTAATCTAGTTGCCATGACAACCTAATCAAGTTTACATGATTCCTGTAATAGACAGATACAGTACATGTGGTTCTGTTTAAAACAAGTATCATAGCAATATATCACACCTAGATGGACGACCCCCATGTACTTGATATGTGTCATAATACATTGAAACTTGTATATTAAAAATATTAGAGGCTGTTAGTGACTACCTCAGACCAACAGCCTGTTTGTAACTTGAAATAACTAGATGAAGCTATCTTTTAAGTAAAATCAAACTATTGAAAATGAAAGTTAATGATCACCTATCAATGTCAGTGATTTCACCAAGAGAAGATGTTAAAAAATGATGTTGTATGAAAAGGCATTCATTTCAAGAGATGGGTCCTGAAAATGGTTTACTGTGAAATAAATTGTTTCAAAAAGAGATTAGCAAACCAATTTTCTATAAAGAAAACCACATAGTGGGTAAGTTGAGTATAACTATAGGTAGGTAAGTAAGAAGTTTACATGTTTGAACATAGTACATGTTAACAACATATAGTGCTCTCAGTTAATTAACTGTGTTAAAACAACCACATCATCATCAATAACTCCCACATAAATTGAACATATTGCACACATATGGGAACATCTCAAGGACTATCTAATACATGTACTAAATGACTTTTTTCATTTTTAAAATTATATAATTTAGACGGATTCATCTACCAATAAACTAATCTGTTAAGTCTACTCCGTTGAGTGACTAATTTTAAAATGCATTTCACCAGAAGAGGTGATTGCTACTCCCACTGTGAAAAATATGTGCTTTGGAATATTAAGCCATAAAACATGCATGAAAAGTCAATCAAGGGCAGATACTTAATAGTAAGGTCAGACCCTTTAACCTCTAAAAGGAGACAAATACTAAGGACCCCATTCCCTGATGTATGGCGTCTGATACCCTAGACTAAACAAACCTTCGCTGTGCCATTAACGAAATTGAAGTAAAATATTTAAAAAACATAAAAATATTAACTCATTATGAAGAACCAACGAAGCTAATGAAATGAATCCACAATATTACGTGACCTTTAAAAGACCTTTCACCGTGTGTTTGTATTTACAAAGTTATGACGCATCCCAGTATAGACACCAGGTCGTATTGACCAAGATAATATGTCTAACGCAAACACATTATGCTCCAGCTTGTTATCTCTCCTGGTTACCTTAACTGAGCAGTTTACCAGCCTAGAACATGTAGAGCATGTATTACACAGGAAGTGGCCCGACCTGAATATATCTAATCACAAGATTTTTTCTCATTAATGATGGTAATCGGAATGTGTTGACTGATAAAACTCAGGTCAAATTCTCTAATCTTGGTGTTGTTTTTTACCTGCTATGCTTATGGCCATAATATAAAGTGCCTCTCAGTATGTATGTTCAAACTAATCACCCTTACAGTTCGATGGAGTCAATATTCCATATATCAAATTAAGATGCTAGTGTAAAGAGGTTCAGATGCTACTAGAAATCAGACTCTTAGAAAGGGTCAAGTACTTGGCTTAAAACGAGGTTCTGCCCATTAAGACACCTTATAAAAAAAGAACTTTTCTCACTCTAAACAAAAAGGACTTTTCTCACTCTAAACAAAAAGAACTTTTTTCACTCTAAATCAAATAGCTACTTTATGTACAGATTTGGACAAAAATATCAAATGTTCTCGAGAAGAGAGAACGTGGAGCAAACAAACCTGATGCAAGATTGAGACTTTACTCCTAAACACACCAATTTCTATGCGATTTTCTGAGCATTTTAATAACCAGTCTATAAAAATTCTGGTAAGCACTGTGTAAATAAAACATCAGTCAGCATTATGGGATAATTAACTTGAATATTATTTATATGAAAGATTCAGTTGAATGCAGTCTCAACCTGTCTGCTCTTAAACAGATGGAAAATATGGGAATTTAACCATGTACATGTAGTAGCATTTATTTAAACACCATACTCAGCATTGTACTACAATTAACACAAGTCAAATGATAGACTCATAAATTATGAGTACTACAATGTATTACATTTAAATACAAACAATATAGTAAAGGTCCCATTTTTCATAATCAGTTTGGAGTTATTAAAGCAGCAGTCATACCCCTACCCTTGGTTAAGAGAACATTTTTTTGCACTACAGAATGTGTTTCTCAAACCTCAATTATAGATAATGCAAAGTAATAATAAAAAAACAGAATAATATCTGGTTCAAGGTATCCGGATTTGAAATTAAATTTCCACTCCTTATTTTTCCTTGATTCAATTATATTTTTATTCATTCATTCCTCCAACAGGTAATCAACTTTAGACATTTCATGGCCATCACTAATGGCTTAAATTGTAGGTAGATTAAGTTTCCAATGGGAAATGGTTTATTAGTGGATGGATACATCTTCATTCACTCGGCTCCCGTCGGATGAACGCAGTGAAGACAGAGCGTGCAAAGATGGGATGGATATGCTTATATTACAAAAGACATTGACCATTAACTTACCTATATAATATTTACTCTCAGCATCATGTTTATTCATAAGCTCAAGGAGTCTCACTTCTATCTGTGCCTGGTTGAGAAATGGTTTCTTATTTTTGATGATCTTGATTGCCACTTGTTCTTGGTCTGCATGGTCAAATGCTTTCACAACCTGGAAATGTCAGCACAAAAAAATTAAATACAAGGCATTAACTTGCAAAATCTCACCACCTGCCATTTGTTACAGATACTGACCCTGAATTTTTAGCAGCATTGTGACTACTTTTTTCGTGGTATCGCAACTACTTCTCCCCCATGTGAGATCAGAGATATCCTATTCGTATACTTTTCAAGATACTTCATGAGATTATCTTGCTATTTTAATCCCAATATTTTTTTCTAAAAGGTTTCTGACTTCCTATTTCTTGATTGTATCCAGTTTTATGTATTTTCTCGAGAGTTTTACCGCAAATAATGTGACAAAAATATAAAATTAGACTCCGGAAAAAATACTTTAGACTCCGGAAAAACTATTAGACTCTGGAGCAAGAGGGTTTTAAGACATTAGAATCTGGAGAATCTCCAGTCTAAAATGAAATGACAATTTCAACTTTTGAACAAAAATCAGCGAATGAAATGAAAATTCCAACTTTTGAACAATATTTGGATTCTGTTTAGATGTCTTCATAGGGCTATTTTAACATTATTCTTCCCTATTGTGTTAGAATGGAAAGGATACATTGGCAACTGTATAGCAATGTGGCCCGATACCACTTTTATACTCATTCTTATCTCATTCTGGTTCAATATAAGGTAGGGCAAAATGTACTTCATAAGATTAAGATTTATCATTTTCAAAAACAATACCATGGCAACCTGAGATTGCAAGGTCTGGTTTATTAACTATCTCCTTTAGAGTGATGTAGCTATATCAATGCAAGAGTGGGTGGATCAATGTCTTCATAGAAAATATATAATGATGATAAATCCTCTTTTATTAGCCTTATCATCAACAAATCTTCAACTAATCGTAAGAACAGTGTTGAAATAGTAGATAAAGTATAATTAAAAGATACATAATCAGTGCTATAAGTTCACTCATTTAAGCTCATTCAGTCAAGTTCTCCATGATTATACTAATATACTAGGAGCCTTTCTACATGAACAAATATGGCGTAATAAAAATACAGTATTTGCTTCAGTTAAACTCTGAACTGAACTGTGAATCAGGGTACAGTCAGGGTACAAGCCCCTGTAGCCCCCCCCCCCCCCTAACTATACATCTAACATGTGAGAAGGTGCGTAGTCAAGAAGTGGGAGGGGGGAGGGTCACAGGGGTTGCACTTGTAGCTAGACTATGAATAAAATTATGTTTGGTTTTGAAGTACACATTTCACAGGTGATCTTGCTATGATCCAATAACAATATCTTAAGCATTAACAAGAAGTTCAAAAATACACATATAACAATGTCCTGGTTTTACAGTAAAATAATAAAGAAACTAAAATAGTAATCTCATGTTCTACTTACCTGACCAAATGAGCCTTTTCCAATTAGAGAATCAATCTCATATCTGTCCATCCATTTCTCCCCAGGTTTAACGATATAATCATGACTATCATCATCATAGCCGTCATTATAGAGGCGGCGTTCCTTTTTATGACTTGTATCGTCACCCTGGGCTTGTTGGGCTCTTCGCTTTTTCTTAGCATAGTATACCTGCAGGAACAAAATATTATTGCATAATACAATGATTTGATTTAAATTCTCAGGATTAGATGGATAACATTTAAGAACTTCAGTTTTGTACCAACCCCTTGTTTACCTCAACTCTCAGGCACAAAAGGCTGATAAAAACAGAAAGTTATTCTAATTCTTTTACCTTCTCTTGTCACAACAAATTAAAACCTGCAATAACCATCAACTTCAATCAATTACAATCAATCAACCAATAGAAATGTTTCATCTGAAATAACTTCAGTTACATACCACAAAAATATCAGACTTATCCATGAAAGTTCTATCCTCACATTTAGAAATATCACCTTGAACCATTGTTATCTTATTTAGCATTTAGTCTCTATCTATCAAAAATCTAATTGATTCTAACTCAATTTCCTAACCCTTCTTACTTACACAAGCCACTGTTTACTACACTTATGGTCAAACATGAATTCAATTTTCCCACCAAAACCCTAGCTTTTATGAAAACAATTCCAAGTCATATGACATTCATTCCCATGCTGACTAGGCATGTAAACACACATGCTGCATATACATGAGACCAGAAGTGATTTGTCTATATGTACACAGAGTTTATAGACATATATACAAACATAAATGTGTCCCATTTCAAACATTTCTTTCAGAAATAATCACTTCATAAAAGTGATCAGTTCTTAACAATTTTATGTATAATATAAGTTGTTTCTAAGCGAACAAGAATAATACCAAGAGAACTTAAGTGAATTTAAGTTTTAAATGGGGAACTTTAATTGTTAAGTAACTCAAATATATATACTACCATTGTGGGATCCACAGCCTTTACTATCCTTTTGGAATAGTTCAGACTGTGGGATACTGACTGTAATAAATGTTTCCTTTAACCCTAAAATGTACGGACCAATCAAATTATTTACAGAGTTCTATTGACCATGAGTATCATGGGAAGGCATTACCTGCAGTTGCATGATTACACAATCAGACAAAGCCTAATGAGTGTGACCAAACACAATTCCCTCCCAAATAATCCAAGTGTTGACATTTGCATGATAATTATTGTTTAAAATTCTAAATTTGAAAGTAATAAGAAAAAAGAAGTATGTCAACATTATCATAGTTATTAATTTTCAATATAAAAACAAGAACCACCAAGATAAATAAAAGTTTTCCACATAATGAATTCATTGAATTAAAGTTTACAAAGGGGAAAACAGAACGGTGCATTCTTAGGCACTAATTTATTCCTCCATATACACTGATTTACTTGGAGAATGCACTGGCTAGGAACATGTTCTGCCTCACGATATATCAGAGTCTCTCAAAAGCGTTAGGTAAAGAGGGACTCTGATAAATCAGAATGATATACTACATGTATATAAATGTTCACTTTCTTTTGATTACGTAAATTGTTATATTGTCTTTGGGAGTATGTATTTGAATGTACTAATAGTAATAGATGATTAGCAGAACAATCAGATTAGGTTGGGTAATACTGATAAAAACAGTAAAACAGACGGTCAACCATATGTCTAATGTTATGGGTTACAGTGACATCAGCATCCAATAAAAGATAAAAATATTGACTGTTATGTCAAATCATGTCTTGTACATGTACTATAATAGAATCAGAGCTACCTGCTTATGGAAAGGAGGGCAAATAGCTAGACTATTTTTCATTTTTTATATGAATATTACAGTAAATTACTGTGTAAGTATGCCAAAGAAGCTTAATTCAAGAAAAACAGATTTTTGACAGTTGTTCCCGCCAAACATTCAAGTTTAACCTCATTCCAGGTCTATTCTCATAGCTCTACGTCAGTACAATACATTTAGTAATCACTAAAGGTATCAAAAGAGGTAAAACCAAGATAATCTCTGGATAAATTGATTTGCTATGATAGTTAAATGGTTTAATGGAGTTGCGTTTAATCTGCCCGCCAAATCTAACTTGTAAATACCACTGTCCTGACTGACCTTTATATGGAGACTACGATCACAAGTGACATGAAATGTTCCCAAAAAGTTCTATGAAATATAAAGATAGTCAGATATTGATCAGATCAACATATTCTGAGATTCTAAACTGACAGAACAATGGGCAAGATATGAACACTTGTACAATAGAACAATAAGACGATAATTATACTGAAAAAAATCTGAAATACCCAAATGGAAATACAGAAGTCATCAATTTTAATCTTTAGAGCAAGCCTCAAGATGAGAATTAAAGCCACTGGAAGTCATGATGGAGATATGAAATAAGGAAAATCTCATATCTAAACACATTACCTCCCTCCCTCCCGATCACATTCTCATTGATGATGAATAGTGAATACCCCAAGCACTTTTAAACATGTCCCAGGAGCATGCACCACATCCTTGGTCAAACGGTTTTTCAATTTATTATATGAACCGGGACAGCCATGCCCGATCTTGAAGGATGCATGCACCTGGGAGAGGAGAATTTGACTGTAGTATAAATTTCAAGAAGGAACTATGATTATCCATTGATTGTTTACTGGACAAATAGCCATAAATTCTACTTGAGAAATCTGCACAAGTACTGTGCTCAACATTGTGTCATTCATAACAATAAGTGCCTCAGCAAAGATATTTCAACTATGCAATTTGTATTTGACATGGAATGTTATATTAACCTCAATTGTAATTGTTGGAAAGTATCACACACCCTCTCATAATAGTACTGATATGTTTGATTTTGTTATTTAAGCATTGATAGCATTAACTAAAGGTATACTGTATATTGTAATAGAATGAGACTGAATTAACTCCGGACTTCACCATTTATAATTCTTGCTCTATCCGCCACCCCCATTTATTCCATAAGAGCTGTCTTCGGGTCACATGGGCCTGAAGCAAGATAAGTCCATGCTTCATCAAAACATCAAAAGTCTTCTCAAAAGTTACAATAAAAGTTCTTTTAGATAAAGGACTTCAAAGTATTTTCTTGTATAGTATATACAATGCACTAAATACATCTAAACATTTCTTAATTACAGGTCCGATATAAATATCAGGGAAAATAGGTCAAGTAGAACAATATGATTTGTACTTTAACATTAAATCATGACATTGGAACCTTTTTAAAAGCGATTTATTTCATCAATCACCCGGGTTCTTGCTTATGGCCTATTTCTTGCTTATGGCCTATTTCTTGCTTATGGCCTATTTCACCCACTTTAAATTTTCTCTGGCACTCAATTCATCAGATTTAAGATTTATGTCATTTTTTGCTCTGTCTAAATAGTCATATTTGGATATCAGATTGAATTGATCATTAAAATGTTATCTTAATTCCAAGAAAGTGAGCAGTTTCGAACAGTGAATCACCCTAACACAAGGTCACCTTAACTGTAAACCAGAGTGCCTTGTATCAAAACACAAGTCTCTCATATTCAATGAAATTTTACATTTAAACGTTAAAAGGTAAAACATTATACACTAACAGGAAGTTGTGATCTCAATGCGGCATTTAACGGTTCGAAAAATTTCAATAGCCAATGTAGCCTTTCCCACACTATGCACTATGTCGAATCAAAATCTTTTTTCATCTGTTTTTTTTCTATGGTTTCAACACAAGATTTGTATATATGAGGTTCAAAAGCTGAAGCATGATCCAAAATTTCAAATCTACAAATAAATTAAACTACAACACTGTGAGCCATATTCTGAATAAACTATTCTGTTGGTATCATTTTTTCATTGGATACAGTTACTTAATGTGAACTTGGGTGCTTTATTAACACAAAATATGAACCCAAGTTTCAGGTTTGCTAATGAACTTACATGCCTCACTGCTTGGCATTGATATAAGACACATTAACAGTTCAATATCATGGACTTGGTATTAACCATATTTTGATTTACTCTCTTCTTCTTAACCTTATAGTCTATAAAACTTTAGACAATTATTTCATATAACCTATGTCTACTGAGACTATGTTATCAGAAGATTGTGACATTGCATTTTCAGTCAATAAGTAATTATTTCACATTGAATTCCCAGAAAACGTAAAAAAATCCATTGGAGATTGTTAAGATGGTATCAACATCAAAACTTACTCATGTAGTAACATGATCTAGAGGCAGGAAGGTCTAGTAATAAAATTAGCTATACAGATCGAACAGAAGTTATGAGAAAACTGAACTAAGCAAATGCACCAAACTGACAGTTAGGTCCATAAATCACAATGAAACACTTGTTCTTTATGAAAAATATGCTTTTGATTTTCTAGAATGAGTGTTAAGAGATAAAAATGAAAATAGGAGGAGGTCGAGTTCTCTCGAGAACGTTTCTAGGGCTCAGCTTTGACCTAGATTACAAATGTTTATATTTTTATTAGGTGCAAGCGAATTAAAAAATTCTAACGAGGTGAAGAGACCAATTGCTTCAAGAGAATATGATCTCTTCAAAATATAGTTCCTTTACCACTGAGATAAAACTTCATAGGCATCTCTATTTCACTTTAGAAAATGGGGCTAAAGTCCAGTATTTTTGAAGGTCTTTGTTGCAAGTAGGATGAGTTTACAATATTACTGATACTGATATTGCTTTTGGTTACACACAAAGAAAAGCTATATTGGGAGATCCTGATTTGTGGTCAAACTGTATCCTGTAAACATTCCTTAGATATCTGTAAGCTATAGCCAGGTGGAGTTGGAACAAAGACCAAAAATTATACAACACTATGATGCATCTCATGGCTTATATCATAAAGGAAACTTATGACTGGTCCTGTATGTAATGATGTCTCTCGTTCTTTACTAATTCTATATTATCTGGGTTCTCCCCAGAATCTAATTGCATGGCGCTCCCCCCTGCTCACTCGTTTTCCCCGCCCTGTTCCCCCCCGCTTGCTTCGCCCGCCCTGCTTAGCGCCCCGCTACTTCAAAACTTACGTACATTATTTTATTCTCCTGGATATTCGACGAAATCACATAAAATTCAAAAAATTTTCAAAAAGTTTTTCCCGATTTGCCATTCCGAAGGCCGAATCTTAAATGTCTTCTGATTGGCTCAAAACTCATGATTAGTTACGAAATATCCAATCAAATTATCTATTACTAATCGTGCGTCATCGACATAATCTGCCCCAGGTTCGGTTCGATCACTTGATTTGACTACGTATGCGCATGCGCCAAAACATTCTAACCTATCAAAATCGTTCATTTGATGCGTGCGTTGAGAAAATTAGAAAAAGTTAACAGTTGAACCTGGCGCAGATTACCCCTATACTGCAACGCGGAGTGATATGATCACCGATCATCAAGATCGCCAATTTGGAATAAAACAAACATAAAAACGACTAAAACTACAATTTGACAATGAAGTATTTTTTTATAAATAGTTAGATTATTATAATTGCGAACGAATTAATGTTCAAATCTTGCTTTTGATGGTTGTCATGATAGAGAAGTTCGACTTCCGGTTCTTTATGCGGGAAACTCAAAAAAAATGGGTAAAATTAAAGACTTATCTAAAGAATAGAATGAAAGTAGAAACAGTGGACAGGGTCCTCAACATTATCATAAATGGACCAAGGGAAGAGGTGTTCGATTTTGAGGCAGCATGGGGGAGGTGGTTTGACATGCACCCCAGAAGATGTAGGGACAGAAGACTTTAAGAAAACACAATGAACAATGAACACTCATGACACTACATGCATATTATCATGTATTGCTAAATAAAAGGTTTTCTAAATGAGAATTGGTGTTTATATAGCGAGCGAAGCGAGCGGCAAAAATTGGCCCAAAAATCATGCGAGCGAAGCGAGCGGCGAAACTTGCTAAAAAATCCCCCCCTGCTATGAAAAAATCCTGGGGAGATCACTGATTATATAAGACAGTTTGAGAAATCTATTCTAAACTTTGTTTGAGCAGATACTATTGAAGTAACAGATGTCTAAACTATCAAATCTTTATTTCTCAGCTCCACAAAAATGTGAATTGGGACATTATTATTTTGATAAGGTTGTGTGAGCAGTTATTTTGAAATCAGGCAGGAAATTAAGATGAAAGACGATATTAACCATTCAAGACAATATGAGGCACTATATTGCATTGGACAGATTATCATCTTTACACCTTTGAATAACTGACGTCATACCATTGATGTCATAGAAACAGGTGTTTGATAGTCTAATTACTTCATTTCATTTTTCGACCAGAAATACATTTAGATCCAGTAGATTAACAACCACTAACAAGTTTAAGTATGTTTATATGCAGCTGTTTATATGTTAAAGTACAGGCACAATCCATTCCTACTATCCATTCTAATTTAGTCAATGATTGTACTTTAGCAGGAGAGGTAAAATATGTTATATCTTAATAACACACATTCTGTACACCAGAAACACAACACAATATCAGGACATTATAGAAAATTCTAATTTTCACAATTCTGATAAAACTGTCAAAATAAGCTAATCTTCTCAGCAGCATAGGTGTAGCCCATAACCAATAAATTTAAAACCATTGGATAGAAGAAGAAAAGACCTTTAAGATACTTTTTATTTGAAGCTTTTAGCTCAATTTTGAAGGAAGTCGCATCATTTTTTGGGTTTGCTAATGCCACGATCTCACATCTCCCCCTGACTGAAAACCAGAAATTTTGGCCATCACAACCCCCCTGACTGAAATCTGGCTACACCTCTGTAGCAATATGGCCTTGTTGACCAAGAAAGCAAGATGGCCACTGAAAAGTTAATCATGTAATATGCGTAAAAATTTGAAGTAAATCCGTTAAGTGGTTTTCTTGGAATCGTGATGACAAGATTTATCTAAAAACTTCCAAAATGACGGCGCCCACCAAGGTGAGGACAATATCGTACAATTTTAGGTACGATAAAAATGCTGAGAAGATCATCAATATTTATAATACATTTATATAGTTGATCATTAACAACTTACCTCGTTAATATGTTTGTAAGTCTTTATCAAATCTGTACTCAGTTTTCTCAAAGGAGCAGCACTGGGATCTCTGAATGTCGTCGGAATGCGGCTTTGCATACTGATGGCATCCATGTCAACTTGCTGCTTGTGCGTTGCCATGGCTACTATTGCATCGGCTGTCACTACTGGTGGGTAGGCAGCCGGAGCATGGCGCGGTTTGTTCAACTGCCCTGTAAGCACATTGTTAAGAGTCATAAGAATTTTCATACAAAAATCTGAGTTCATGCAATTTCTTGATATAATAGGTTTTTACCTTGTACAGCACTCTAAAAGACAATACATTGTACATGTAATTGGTCTAACCTCTAATATAAGACCATGGTCTTATCAGTAAGTTATAAAAAAGAGAGATGATAAATATTGGCATTTTCCAAAGGGAGAAATATTTTCAAATTATCAATGAATAAAAATAAATATGAAATCTTGACCATGTATATATGAAGTACAAAAATTCTCCCTTGAATTTCCAACTTCCAAAAAAGGACTTCAAAATAATTACAGGTCATCTGAAAAATGTCTTGAAACCTTAGAAACAAAGGGCATATTTCTGATTTGATGGCATGGCACTCTATATGAATGAACCAATACTATAATGTCAATCAAACACACTCCTCTTATTCACAAAATAAGAAGCAAGGCAAGCCAGACAATTTTCAATTTCCTTTTTAACCTTCTGCACTCCGACTTATTTCAGCAAATATATCCCACGCATCTGACTTATTTTTCAAAAATGATATGCCTGGACTAAATAATTAATATCTCAATAACTACTGAATGAATCTGGATAAAATTTTCACAAAGGGAAGATACACTAGCGTGGCTCATGAGAAAAAATGTTCTCATGAATTTTTTTCGTACATAAACACGACTGGGCTTGAATATACCATGAATACTCCTCCAGAATCCGCCGTTTCGCCCCTCGGGAGATTCAACGTCTGGTCAGAATCCAAAACTGAATTTGCAGAGATCGAATGTTCTTCTTTTCAGTTCAGAAAATATTCTAGTTTCTATTTTCGATGACCATTATCGGCTTCCAAGAGCCTAAAGAGCTCGAAATCGCAATCCATTTCCTCCACATTTTCGTTGTGATCGTATTTGGCCGTCATTTTGTACGATTTGCTCACTAAAAACGACTTAAACACTGTTGAATTGTTGAATTGAGAAATATTTTTCGAAACATCGCCATTTCTAGGTCAACAGGAAGTCACCTACTAAGGACTGAATAAATCGGGCAATCTAATTGGATCATAAGAACGGCGGGAAAAAGTAAAGTTTTCAAAAGTTAGATTTGTGTCGTCCGGATCCGCCGGTGGATTCTGGGGGTAGTTTTGAATGGGCGGACGCGGCCGCCGGTGGTCTGCTAAAGGTTAAACTAATTTGTGACTGCATTACGTATAAGAGAATGTCCAGATCGTCTAGTTCTAAGCCTAATGGATCAATAGTTGCTGCTATACCCATATTAAATCATAGACACCAGTCCAGCCTAACCTTCCACAACAGAACAAATGATGTCTGCATTACAAGACCCGCAGACTATTGTATTCAAATCAGTGTCATCCCAAGATAAAGTTACAACAAAAGACAATTCGAAGTTTTTTTTTATCTTATTGATCTAAAGATGGATTTATTCTAAGGACACAGTGAAGCATCGCTTTCTGCTAATAGGGTAATTCAAGATGAACATTACAATTTTAGGCGTTACATTTTTTGGCATGGGGCAATCTAAATTTGAGAAGATGTAATTCCTAGAGTAACCCCATCAGTAGACATCAGCTGATGCTGGTACTGGACTAGACACACTAATGATGCATAAATGAGATGTAGTTCATGACCATACTATTAAACAGTGGTCCAAATGAATGAAAACCTTGTCCTCATTAAAGTTCATCCTCTAAGGTGTGAGGTGTGCTCCTGGAAGTCCACTACTATGATTATCATTATATGGGTAATTGACCACAGAAACCCTGGATAGTAGCTCTCAACGGTTCAAAGGGCTCTTGTTTGATTCTGAAATATTGTGGAACTTACAAATCATTTCCATACTTCATTTAATTTATTAGGGCTTGTACAGTTTGGGTTTTCATTTGGTATTCAAAACATTGCTCAGAATTCACCATGAAACCAAGGACATCTTACATTTTCTTAAATTAACTTATGAGAAAATCTAAGATCTAATTTGAAGATATACCCTGATGATTTAGATGCAAACCTAAAATCAATATAATCCCCTGATTTTTTTATTCCGTAGTACTCCATATGGCAGACATCAAACAGACAGAATCACACTAGCATTGTAGAACTCCTCCAATATTCCTGTTTTGCAACATATACTCTTGAGGAGGATAAGTCTGTAGGCGAAAAAAATTAGTTACTTCAGCCCTTACTCAAGTCCCCGAAGATAGTAACATTAGAACTCAATATATTTATCATGCTAGACATCTAATCTCGTTTACTGGTAGATATTACTTTATAACTCAATTACTTTAACAAAAATAATAAAATTATCTTCAACAATGGGCATTATATAGTAGTGTGTATTGCGTGAATGTTATAATGTCGATCTGTCTTTGGTATTCTACAGTCCGTTTATTATATGATCAAGTCTTTCAAGATAGAATCCGAGATATTATGCAAGCAATGTGACCAATATTACCTACTAATATGTTCTTCACAATTTCAAATATATTATCAATCAAAATACACTATTTTTAAGATTAAAAAATAAGGCAATGTTTCTTTGAACTATATTATGATGTAAAATAGGGTAGAAGCAAACAAGTGAGGTTTTTGACATAGACTTAGGAAATAAAGTATAAGAACATCTAGGTCTCATCTTAACTTGTCTTGGTATTTTAAACGTTTGTCTGAAGAAAGGCTATGACGGCTTGAAGTATACCTAGCTGTTGGAATTTGGTTAGTTATAAGTAGGTGATGATTTCACCTGTGCTGCTTGACCAAAAATGCCTCAATAGTCTAAGAACATTCTGATTGTATTGTATATTTATTTACCTCTAATCACTAGAGAGTTACAATTATAAAGTTACAAATTGAAATAAAGAATAATAAAAACACACATATTTAAAATAGTGAACAAATCTATATCCCCAGTTGAGATGAAACCTCTATAGTGACCAATGCCATCTTCCGCAAGGTCGATAGCTCAGGACCAAAATAGAGTTCTCATAGCATCTTTCTGTTTCACCTGAAACATGTCAGGGCTGAGAAGAATTGAGATGTCATGGTTCATGGGAAGACATTAAATTTTGAGACTAAAATAAATGAGGCTGTCACCTTAATTGCTTTGATTTTGAAATTCAAGTCTACATATGTGATATGTGGATATAATATTGCAACTGCTATATCATTGTATATGAGAAGTGTATGCAGAAACTTTTTCTAAGCATGATTCGCAACTTCAACTTTCAATTTCTTCCATTTATATCATTTGATACTGACATAAAAATAAGGGGAATACAATAACAGCATAGACAAGGGAAGACATATGACAAAATGAACAAGGAAAACATGGGACTGTTTCATATTTAACCTTATAACAACATAAACAAGGAAAAATATATTTTATAATTCAATAAAAGAGAACAACTGTTCCAGAAATGAAATCAACTTCTCCAAGAATGGTTTTATGCAGTTATTACACATGTCAGTCTGCAAGTGCATTTTATTCTATTACCAACCATAATTTCTCCATACAGTAAAGTATTCATCATGTACGGTGAATGGCTCAGATGGCTGCAACAATAAAACGGCATTGACTAATTAAAACTAGAAGCTGCCATAATAAACACTTCAAGAAGTCCAATTAAATCTTTATATTTGTCTTGTAGAAACCTTGATCTGTTGTTACTGACACTTCCTATACCCTGGTTTGTACATGAGCATCAGGGACCTTGCTAGAATATTCTGAGAAAGTTTATTCTTATAATCACAGCTAGGCAATCAACATTCCTCAATTGAAGGATTGGTTTTCAAGGGAAATATGCATGGGAACTTTTTATTTTGAGATATATTTGAAAAAAACCATTGGTAAGCAAAGCATGAGGTAGGCAAGTTAACTGTCTCACCAAAATTTTACTGAAAAAGTAATATTTAAACCATTTTTTGCTGAAACTATGAATGTGATGATAAATACACTAGTGCCTTACGGTAATGCCGGATTGTCGGCAGCGGCAGTAGATACTCTCAATTGCCGGTAATAAAATCCATTGCCGATAATCGCCATGCTGCTGCAACATGATGATTGGCATTGCGATCCATTGTCAAATTTACGAAACAATGTTCGTTTAACCTTTAGCGTGCTGCCGGCAGACTCGTCCGCCGAAACTAAAATGTCTCTCACAACTGCCGGCGGACCCGTACGCCCGATTTCAAACTTTTAAAAACTTTACTTTTTCGCGCCATTCGTATTGTCCAATTAGATTGCCCGATTTATTCAGTGCCTAACATGACTTCCTGTTGACCTAGAAATGGCGATATTTCGAAAAGTAATTCTCAATTCAACAATTTAAACAGTGTTTAAGTCGTTTTTAGTGAACGAATCGTACAAAATGGTGGACAAATACGATCACAACGAAAATGTGGAGGAAATAGATTACGATTTCGAGCTCTTTAGGCTCTTGGAAGCCGATAACGGTCATCGAAAATAGAAACTAGAATATTTTCTGAATTGAAAAATTGAACATTCGATCGCTGCAAATTCAGATTTGGATTCTGACCAGACGAAGAGGCGGAGCGGCGGATTCCGGAGGAGTATTCATGGTATATTTATGCCCAGTCGTGTTAATGTACGAAAAAATTCATGAGAACATTTTTTTCATGAGCCAGGCCACTGTATCTTCCCTTTGTGAAAATTTTATCCAGATTCATTCAGTAGTTATTGAGATATTAATTATTTAGTCCAGGTATATCATTTTTTGCACTCTGAAAAATAAGCCAGTTGCGTGGGATATATTTGCTGAAATAAGGCAGCATGGTAAAGGTTAAGAATATTTTATCAATCATGTATATTTCAATCTCCACATTTGAAGAGCTAATCTGTCAATCAACTGCAAAGCATTCGTAAAAGGCGGGAGGATAAGCAAAACCCCACCCACTTCTGTCAATCATCTCCCATGCCGCGAGATTAACAAATCACGTGACGTGATATTTCGGT